AAAAAAGGTTGGGGATCACTGGATTAGAGGAAACAGTAACATCTGGAGTTGTTTTAAGATAGGCAGCTATATTGAGGACTGGAATGATGGGAAGGAAAGGAAGAAAGAAAGAAAACAAGGAAAGGAGAAAGAAGGAAAGTTTTCCTCTGCCTTGTCTATTCTAAAGTGGTTAGCGCTACATGTTAATGTTGCCTTGAATTAATTATTTATCCAGATAATTACATTCAATCAGAAAGCAGAAAGTGTTGAATGGTGTTTATGAAATTAATTTTATTATTTGCCTGTGCTGTGTGAAGCAGATTTCTAGTTCTAATTAGGGATATTATATTACAAACATCTGTGATCTTGTTTACTTTAGAGGCTTTGTAAAAAGAAAAAAAAATCCCATCAGTTACTCCATAAAATTCTTGATTTGGAGGATTTTGTAGCTCTTCTCCTAATCCTAATTGTGTCTGCAAAAGATAAGGCCCAACTGAGATTCCAAAGTGCAGAAACCTGTGATATAGAATTCCTTTTCTGAAATTATAATTTATTAATTTGTGCTTAAATATTTAATACTATAATTGAAAGATTTGTCAGTTCATTTACTCAGTTAACATATAGCCTTACATTTTAGGGAACTAAATATAATCTGAAATTGATCATTGTTGCTTTCAGTGTTGTGTCATGGGCTTTGCTACATCTTTATGGATTCCACATTTACTATGAGAATGATTAATAATCAAGTATAGCTTTTTTTCCAAGAGGCAAAATCCTTAAAGACCAGACTCCTCAAAAACATTAAAGCATTAAAATGGAAGAAATACTGAAAATTGCAGCTTCTTGTTAAAGATTCTTGAAGTCAAGTTTCTGTGGCATTGTTTGGCATGGCAGCTCTATAATTTTGTACAGGCTGAGAGGAAGAACTCACATGGAAAAACCCAGTGTTATTGTGATCCCAGTGCCTTGAATTTTTATACAGTATGTTGGTGATGGGAAGCTATTTTAGTCTTGGTGCCAGAAGCACAATACTGTACTTGCCGAATAGGCATCCTTGGAGGATAATAGCTGAGTAAGACATACTGCATCTTGAATTGCAGAGAAGAGAGGAGTTTATATTATCCACAAATACCATAAACCAGGCACAGAAGACTTTCTGACTTGATTGCCCTGTAATTGAGTTTCTTTAGGGATCTTCTCTGTAGTCTTTCTGTAGATAATCCAGAGAAATAAAGCCTGGCATTCTGGAGAAACCTGGCAAAAGCAAGAAAGAGAAACCTCAAGAAAAATATTGGCTACCACAAAATAGGGGACAGGGTAAATTGTATGTATAAAGTATATTTTAAACCTGTTTTTCCATATTTAAACTACATTTAGTTGATCTAAAGATTGTAAAAGCCATCTTTTTTAGTACTAAGTGCTAAATTTTATTCTTCAGATTTTTTATTTATTGTTTTGAAAACAACGACGGAGAAACAGAAAAAAGTGAAACCCAAAAATAAAAATACACTGTTGAAGAAAAAAACATACATAGATATATTTTTTTTAGAAAAACAGTCAAAAAAATACAAAGAAAAAAGAAAACTATATTACTTCTAGCCTTCTGTAACTCCACCCCCCCCCCCCCTTTTATTCATTTCAAAAGTATTTTGCTATACAGGATGAAAAACTGCAATTTGAATTAAGTACATTGATAATACATACTCAGCTGGCATTGTTACTCGTAATTATTGTATGTCAATATGAAGATTTGGTTTAGCTTGAAATATGCTTATGTTCTTTAATTACTGTTTCTTATTACAGTCAACCCCATTACATTTGGCGGCAGGATATAACAGAGTTCGTATAGTGCAGCTTTTACTTCAGCATGGTGCTGATGTCCATGCAAAAGACAAAGGGTATGTCAAATTGTATAATTTGGTTTTGATAGTGCTAATATGATGTAAGGGGGAAAGCACTTTTTCATAATGACATTCACAGATTCATAGGTACTATTTTGAGGCCAGGCAAAACTCTTCCCTCCTCCCTAAATCATTTAAAACTGGTTGCTTTTGTTTAATTTTTGTGTATATTTGTAATTTCTGTTTCCTTCTCTGATTTTTATTTTTTATTTTTGCTTTCCATCTTAGCGTAGCGAATTTTATTGCAGTGTATATTTGCATGAGCAATATTCTGTGAGCCATTCAGATGAATCTAAGCATGATTATCAGTAAAAATAAGATAGTGATTTGAGTAAAAGTGGAATAGCATTGTTGGGCAAATTCATGGGAGTAAATCATATATATCCACGTTGCAACTATCTCAGAGTTCCCCAACATTTCCAGCTTTGCAGACCAGTGGGTGGGGAGGGGGGATGGTTCCATGTGAGTGGCTGGGAAGTCTGTGTGCAGCTCCATTTGCATGAGCAGCATGCCTATGTTATTCATGCAAGTGAGGGCGTGTGTGTGCATGTGCACTTGCCAGCTGTTTCTGCGGACCAGTTGCAAACCTCTTGCAGCCCACTAGTGGGCTGTGGCCTACCCACCGGTCAGGGACCCCTGCACTATCTCATATAAGATCTGGAATGTCCACAGAGTAGTCTTTCCCCCATATTTAGATGCTAATTAAAATATAACATTTGTTTGTGGCCCAGATACAGGGAAATATTTAGACAGTAACTGTCACTCCTCTGTAATTTATGACAGCAAGGTCATGACAGGGCATTGGACTTGATGACCTCTTGGACCTCTTCCAATTGATTTTAGTCTATTCGTTTGATTTAAAATATTCAGTTGTAGCTGTAAATTTGCTGTGTTCCTTTTTCTTCTCTGTGAATGGCATGGATAGTCTCAGTTTTAAAGTTCTGTTGTATTTGTCAACTTATTACGGAAGCAATGAATCCTTGAATGAGCTTAACTTTTTTCTGCAGTCTTCAAATGTATGTATTCTTGGAAGGCATGTTATATAGTTCATGTAAGACTGAAGCATTTTTTTTTAACCTAACTGGTTTGAGCTGTAGGAAGTTAGCACCCACCCCTCTCCTAGAAAATTGAAATATCCTAGGAAATATTAAAAAGGCAGAATATTTCCTCTAAAAAGAGTAGAAACTCAGAAGCAGAAACTCACCTCAGAAGTAGACGCTCACCCCCACCTTTGTTAATGGGTGGGCCATTAAGGCCTGGGCCAGAATACTTTACATAACAAAGATCTCCAGGTAAATCTATAGCAATTGCTCAAAAGCCCTTTCAGTGCATCATCATCATCCAGCAAGGCTCAATCAAGCCTGGAACTCAGGACAGCCTATAGAGTTGCCCTTGCATGGCCTCATGGGAGTCTGACAACCAATCAGAATATAAGCTCCAATTCAAATCCCAACAAAGGTTATAAAACCCAGGCACTCTCAGCACCTCAGCCCTTTTTTCTTGATTTCTTCCTTCACCTTGAAGCATGTGATCATCCTTCCTTTTCACTCTGGAGCTCCAGGCCATGTGGTCCTCCTGTCTACCATTAAACCTTCCAAACATCCTCCATGTTTCCAGTGTCTTTTTACCCACTTGGAACTGAACCCAGAAGGATATTTCTTTCAACAGCTTTTTCCAACAAGCAAATCATGTTTCGCTTTTAGATGGAATATCGCTGTTCTAACTTTTGTTTGAAACTGGTTCATGAACTTTGGCTTATTTTATTCATGGTTTTTATGCCTGAAATTCTCAGTGGAATAAAAATATAAAAATGATGAAATAGTCCTTTAAAATATATGTAAAACATGTCCTTTAATGAAATGTAACTGTATATACACACAGCAGTAAAACAAACAATAAGCCCAAAATAAAGAAAAACAAAAGAACCCCCAGAAAGATACCATCCCTACACTTATGCAGGCAGGAAACATTAAAACTGTGCAAAGCTTTAAAAATAAATAATTTGACAAATGCTTTAGCACAAGAAAAATATTAAAGCAGATAAAATATATGGTGCAGTGTAGTGAAGAATTATTTTGCTGAATAGTTAAACAGTGTTTTTTTTCTTTGTTATAGTGGACTTGTGCCTCTACACAACGCATGTTCCTATGGACATTATGAAGTTACAGAATTGCTATTGAAGGTGGATAATTTAATAATTATGTAATTATATAAAGATTGTCATTAATGCGAAGGGTTTTATTCTGTTTACAAATTATAGGTTGTATATTGCATGTGAGATAATTTGTATGCCTTTGTGATGTTGATAAAGAAAATATTTTAGAGACCTCCTTCTGTATTTTTTTAAAAAAGGCTGCTGCTTATTTGAAATAATTCATCACTATAAAGAACACTTAAAGCTGTCACCAATTTTGCTAAATTATCCCCAAAACACCTCCTTTTATTCCAGTCTAATTTTACTAAGTCAAAAATGATTACATTCCTATTCTATTTTTCTCATCTATACTGTAGAACAGATTTATTTAGAAAATTTAGAAAATTTACATGGCTGCCTGACTTAAATGAATAACTATTAAAAACAAGAATGAAATTAAATGGAATATAAAGGTATTTTGCAAGTAACTTACAGCTTCTGAAACACACATAGTGGATTTCTTTAGCAGACATAAATAATCCCTGAAAGAAATGCCAGGCTTTGATGGCCTTTTGCAACCCAGCAAGTCAGGGCCATCCAATTTTTGAGTAGGAGTGGAGGGGAGGTGAAGGGGGCTGTTTCATTGGGCAGGCACTCTGAAGCAAAGGCATGTCTCCTGAATCCCACAAGATGGCACTGTTTCATAGAATAGGCACTACGGTACTTGCCCCAAGCCAGTGATCGGGTTTGTGTTTTATTTCAAGTAGAGAACTAAACAAAGGAGTCTCAAGTGCTATTATACCAAGATTTATTGTAATTGGTCTGTTATACCAATTTTTGTAAACAAATCTCATGTGTTAATCTCACTCTTTCGATGTCAAGTAGAATACATTTGTTCAGCTAATGAAATGAAATGATTAAATGACTTCATATATGTTAGAAATTCTAATATGATTTTCCTCACAGACAGATAATCCAACCTTGTGTATTTAAAACTAAAAAAAAAATAATTATAATATTGATGCAACATAAAATGCCTGTTGTCTTTTCCTCCTGTTACATTTGTTCCTTAGCATGGAGCCTGTGTTAATGCAATGGATCTCTGGCAGTTTACTCCATTACATGAAGCCGCTTCCAAGAATCGTGTGGAGGTTTGTTCTCTGTTACTCAGCCATGGTGCAGATCCAACATTAGTCAACTGCCATGGCAAGAGTGCTGTTGATATGGCACCGACACCTGAGCTCAAAGAGAGGCTCACCTGTAAGTATGAGTATGTGCAAGGTGTTATCATTCTCAGCAAGACTACAGAATTCATTCTTTTCTACAGTATTAAAAATGATATTCTGTTCTTTTAAAGTAAGGCTGATATGGTATCTCAACCTTCAGTTGATGAATTTTTTGTACCATCTGAGAAATTTAAAGGATTTATGCTTATGTATTTTATTTCATCTTATTTATTAATCTAAATTTATTTATGTGGCTGCCCATCTTAGTACTATGACTCCAGGGGGCTACCAAAAATTTAAAAAATACATATCAGGACCAACTAAAGCATAGAGTGACTACCAAAGATATCACATACCTGCGGTATTGGCTGAATTGCTTGCTCAACTCCTATGCCCAAGAAAACAGCCTGGTCTTCAAGACTTTCCTAAAAGTGAGCACAGTCGGGACCTTATCTGTTACAGAACTAAGGTTTTAATTTTTAGCTTAACTCCCCATCACCATCACTTCCTCATTATTGGGAGCAATAAAATTTACGAAGCAAATGCCTAGGAACTTTGTGGAACTTAAGATGTTTTTGGCCCAACTTTGTGGTGCCACATTGTTCAGTCATTGCTAAAAGGAAGCCTGTCAGTATGAGTGTTAGCATTGTTCTGCCTAATGTTTTCAGAAGTGCTATTGTTTCAGATACTAATATTTATAGATATCATAACTAGTAATCATTGAAAACATTAATTTTCCATGAATTTGACCTTCCATACTTTTCCAGCTGACTCATTTAGGTATCGCTACATATCTGTGTGACAATTTCCATAATTTCCTAAAGCACCGAGTCAGGTGATACTTCTTTTTGTCAGTCTTGTATATCCTGCTCTTGGTGATCCATTTCTATTGTTGATTTTTCCACACACTACATAATTGTGTATATTAATGTTATCGCCTTCATATCTTGTTTATAATTTCCATCTTTTCTGGTCTAAACACTCCCAAATGAAAAAAAAAATTCTGATAGGATAGTTCCACCATCTTTTCGATTATCTGCTTCCTTTACATATACTAAACCCTCTACTCATTTAGCAACTATATTCCAATGACTTGGGCATTAAGCGAAATGATCACTAAGTGATTGAGAGAGAGAGAAACAATCTGAAGATCATTAGTTGCTGCTGTTTCTCTCAGATAAAGTTCTCTTATACAATATCCATTTTTCCCCTTTGGTCAGAAAGTGATTTTTAATATCATTTATTACTGTATTTTTATTATTGGACTTATTATTTTTGTGTTTGCAAATGGTTGCTAAACAAAGTAGCCACTAAATGAGGAATGGCTTTATTTAACACTCTGAAAGCTGTTTTTGAAATGTTGTCAACTTGAATTATATGTACCATATTTTAAATATGACCATGGAATGGAATGGAATGGAATTCTTTTATTGGCCAAGTGTGATTGGACACACAACGAATTTGTCTTGGTGCAAATGCTCTCTGTATACATAAAAGAAAAGATACATTCATCAAGAGTCAAGAATCATAAGGTACAACACTTAATGATAGTCATAGGGTACAGTAAGCAATCAAATCAAAGTAGGAAACAGTCCATATAAATCGTAAGGATACAAGTGACAAAGTTACAGTCATACAGTCACAAGTGGGAGGGGATGGGTGATAAGGAGTGATGAGAAGATTATTAGTAATAGTAATGCAGACTTTGTAAATAGTTGGACAGTGTTGAGGAAATTATTTGTTTTGCAGAGTGATGGCGTTTGGGAAAAAACTGTCCTTGTGTCTAGTTGTTCTGGTGTGCAGTGCTCTATAGCGTCGTTTTGAGGGAAGGAGTTGAAACAGTTTATGTCCAGGATGTGAGGGGTCTGTAAATATTAGAGAGCATTTCACCGAGGCAGCCGTCGTCGGCGCCATCTTGGATCAAGACATATTTGTACCATAGTTTTTATTTTCATTTTTGTCCTAATGAATTCCCAATGTGGGATTTGCCCTTTTCATAGTTTAGCACACTGAATTTTAATTGAGTCGTTTACTACAGTCTCAAGATTCTTTTCTAGATTAGAGATTCAGTCTAACCTCAGTCAGGTTATATGTGAAGATGTTATATTTTTTTTCTTTCTTTTTGGTGTTTGCATACCCTGAGCCACATTTGCAATTTAAATATCTCTCTTTCTGTTTTAAAATTCTTTGTTTTGACTACCTTATTTATTTGGTGGTGTCAAAAGAATTGAAATCACCTTCAGAGACTTATCAGAGAAACTGTATCTGCAGTAATGTTATTTTGCACTGAAAACTATTTTGATTAAAAACTGCCTTTACCTCTTAAATCATGGGTGCTTTTCTGTCTTTCTGAAGCATTACTTGAGAGAATATAGTGGGACAGTCCACTAGAGAATTTTTCCCTTCTACGTTATTTTTCTGCAACACTGTTGTAAATCTGGTTTTACAACAGATATTTATCACCCATAACTATGTTTTTCCCCCTTCTGCAGATGAATTCAAAGGACATTCCTTATTACAAGCAGCAAGGGAAGCTGATTTAGCCAAAGTCAAGAAAACACTTGCCTTGGAGGTCATTAATTTTAAGCAGCCACAATCTCATGAGACAGCACTGGTGAGATCATGGAGTCACTTTTCTTGCTTTAGCTGTGTATACATTTAAGATTTTCTGGTACAATCATACCAATAGTTTACAAAGAGTTTCACCTATTAGAAGTTAATGCTTGACCTGCTATTGATTTAATGCCATATTCAGGAAAAAAAATCTCTTCCATTAACCCAATTTTTTTTTCTCTGAAATGTATTGTACAGTCTGTTCAATGTTTTATGTCTTCTGTGAAAGTAATCTTTTCAAATGTAATCACACTATAATTAAGATATTGGAATAGTGTTGAGGAAATTCAAGTGCAAGGCTACCTTTGGCTAAGGAAATTCAATGGGCAGTTTGAGACCACTCATCCTCCTTGCACAAACTACTACTATGAGATTTTGTTAAGGAAATCTTGCCAGGAACCTATAGTCATTTGAAGAATATGTGGGATAAAAACATGTTATAATTGGTGGAAGTAATGGTAGAGAAACTTATCTCTTTACATATTTTATTAGTTCTTTGATTCAGTGCATGAAAAAAGGAAGGAGCTGAAATGAATATTTTACCTCTCATTCTTTCTCAGTCGCAAATATGGTAAATCCTGATTGAAATCTTGCTCCCTCAGATTAGCTCCTTTCCAGAAAAAATATAAATAAAACCAGTCAAGGTAGTAAATATTAGTCCTATTCTAATTTGTTCATAATGCTTCTGAGGACTGCAAGAAACTTGCTGACTAAGTGTATATGCGGTTTTGGTGTTTGTTCTCTTGTGCTTATTTCAATTTTTGGATTTTGCTGCTGGTATAGATATCAATAGAAAGATCTGCTACTTGAAACATACAAGCCAGGCTGAAATGAACCAAGGATATTTAATGAAGTGACTGAAAAAGATTTGTTCACATGGCTCATGTGGTACTAATGTTTGAGGAAAGAAAATAGACAGCTTAGAATAGGGGAGGTCACGTAAATTATGCTTTACTAGTGCCATCCTCTTAAATTACATGAACATAATTTTATTTTGTTAATGTATTTATTTATTTATTAAATTTCCATGCTAGCCATCTCGCTAATACAGCAACTCCCAATGGCTTACATTTTATTATATTATATACTACCTTGTATTACAATCTTCTCATTATACAATGCTGTCTCTTTTGTAGCACTGTGCTGTGTCTTCTCTTCACCCTAAACGGAAACAAGTCACTGAATTACTGCTTCGGAAAGGAGCCAATGTCAATGAAAAAAATAAGGAGTATGTTTATTCTTTGAAATTATAATATTTGCATTTAAATGGATCAGGCAAGCTTTGAGAGCTGTTAATCTTGTCTCTTTTCCAATCTAGTTTCATGACTCCTTTGCATGTGGCTGCTGAACGAGCACACAATGACGTTATGGAAGTTCTACATAAGCATGGTGCAAAGGTAAATATTGTTCTGTATTTTAAGTAATGCAGTGGATGGGAAGAGTAGTCTTGTGTGTGATCTCTCGTGTGATAAACAGCTGTGAGTCCTGCTTATTCTAATAGTAACATGGATACCTCTGGTCCCGGTGACTGACCCAGATTGGATCCAGTAACATGGATAGCTGATTCGTCTTGTTCCTAACAGAATTTGAATAGATGAACTTTGGAAATATTATATTGTATATATTTCCTGGTCAGATTTATTTGTCATATTTGTTTCTGAAATCTTCTATAAACTTCTAGAGACGTGGGGTTTTTTTGGGGGGTGGGGGGGAAGGTCTTTAATTTTATTCATCTCTACTTGATACAGAGTTATGGTAATAGAAGTCTGTTTTGACTTAAAAGAATTCAGATAAAACATTTTCTTTTATTTTTCTGCTAAATTCATTCATAATGCATTAGATTTAATAAACAAAATCCTATGATTATTTTCCTGATGTTGCCATAGCAGTGTTTGATTACAATAATATAGAAAGAGTAATAGTACATCTTCATCACAGATGCTAATCTGCTTCCATTGCTGATATTGTTCTGCCTTTCTGTTTTAATCAAGCAGTATGCTAAGTAAATGCTAATTAAATAGTTGGGATCATGACTTTACAGCCACATATTTCTTTTTTCTTTTTAATTCTCACTGTGAAGGTTATTATCCATTTCCTTTTAATACGTTTTAAGTGAAATTCAATAAATTAATCAGTAGTCAATATTTCAAAGTCAAATATATTCCTAATATCTGGTATATGTCTGCAACTCCTGCCATTCTTCATAACTTGGAAAATATGCAGAAGCTACTGCATTTATATGCCTATGTAGAGTGAAGTACCTTTAAATCTTAAGTCTTGTCCAGCCCTATTAGTCAATAAATGGTTATTTATTCTGTTAGGTACTTGGGACAACATATTAGAAAATAATATTTTTATTCAGTTAATGAGTGGATTTTTAGAGAAATGCATCAGTTTATCATATTTATTGATGTATCATTCAGAGGAATTATATATCATTCCATTTATCAATTTTTAACCAGGTATAGGCTTGCTAATAATTCTTTCTAATTGAATAATTTAATTTGAGGGTTTAAGTTGTCATTAGATATATGGATGCTGTAATTGCATTTATAGTAAGCATGGGAAAAAACATTTCACAACATCCCCTATTTTATGTGCTCCTAAATTTCTTCAATCTTTTCTGGAAAGCTGACTTACTCACAAGCCACACTTCCAGTATGTTCAGATTACTATTTGAGATTATATATAAAGTTGAGTGAGATGCATCGGGATCTAGTGATGATATCTAGCCAACAAGATATTAGAGAACTCACAGGTCTTGTGATAACCCCTAGCTCTACTATTCAAAGTAATGTGCTTAGCTAAGATTACAATTCTTAGACAGTTTACTATGCATGAGATTATGAAAGTAAAACTGTTACCTTGGATTATAAATCAAGGAAGAAAATGCACAATTCAGCAGTGCCCAGGATGTTTGCAGTTCGCATATAAAATAAATGTATCTGTCTATCCAATATTACAGCTTGTTAGAGTTTAACTTCAACAATGCTTTAACTGTGTGTAAGACAGGTGCACTATAATTTAGGCATATATTATACAAGTGCTATTCTCCAGCTTTCTGTTGTAGAACATTGTTTTAAGCAGGTTCTATAGGACCATAAAATACTTTGATATAGACATTTGCAAGTGTACTGGATTTCTAAGCAGCTGTTCCGTTTTTCTATTTTTCTGCGGGGAAGCATTTTAGGAAAGATTCTTTGCACTTATTTAAATGGAAAAATGGTTCTGTAATTGTGCATTCAGGTTGTTAATTATAATGCATTTCCCAAGTGAGCTTCTTGCTGATTGAATACTATGTCTAGCCACAGAATATTTAACTGATGATAGTGAATTTTTAGTTTATAGTCTCATTAATATAAAAAAATCACAAAATTGGTTCACTGTGTGCCAAGTACAGATATAGTAAAACCAATTCAAATAGTCATAAAATCTAGTAATGAAAATACAACAATATTTTTAAAATTGGAAGAATATCATATATTTTAAAAAGCCAGGCAAATTAGAACTTTGCTTAATGCCAAAATGACAGTCCGGTCCAGTCACATGATGCCTCAACCTATGACCATAATTCTGAGCTCTATTATGGCATTAAGTCAAGGACTACCTGTAAAGGAAGTAGTCCACATACAGACACTTTTTTTGCATCCAGACACTATGTTACCTGCATGCTTGCTTATTATAGGCTATGGGAAGCAGTAAAACGAAGTTAATTTTGCACAAATGAGGTAAGATGAAACTTATTGATGTATAAATATTGGAGTGGAAAGGAGAAATTACACCTTGAGCCCTAGTGAGGATATGCACATTTTTCATCTTAGCAGAAGTTGAGATAACCTAATGCCAATATCACTCCCAGGAACCCCAAAACATGGAACAGTGCTTTTACATATTAGGAAGTCAGATTTCATTCTTTTTACACTAATAGGAACTTGAAATTGTGATGTAAGATATCTAGTGTTTTGCCATTGTTACTTGGTTAGCTTTAATAAGGTCACATTAAATTTCTGATGGGATGTTGCAATATATAAGGAGAATTGTGCATTGTTCTTTATACCTTGCTCCTTAGATAACTATCAGTCATTTTCTATTATCTTCTCTTCAGTATCCAAAAGAAGTTTCCAGTACAACTTCTTGTCATATATCTGAGGAGAAAATACTCGAGAATTTATCTTTATATCCTCATCTCTAGAAAACAAATAATCTGTTATTCCACTGCTGTACATATTATTCATGTTTCCCCTTAGATGAATGCACTGGACACACTTGGACAGACTCCTTTGCACAGGGCTGCTTTGGCAGGTCACTTGCAGACATGTCGCCTCCTGTTGAATTATGGCTCCGATCCCTCCATCATCTCCTTACAAGGTTTCACAGCAGCACAAATGGGCAATGAAGCAGTGCAGCAGATACTGAATGGTAGGTATTTTCGTTGCTTGACAACTGAAGGATAATTTTGGTTTTCAGAAGAAAGTCTGGTTTTAATTTTAGATTTTTGAAATTCATTTTGATTATCTTGCTCTGCAGTTCTGCAAAATTATTAGCAATTTAAAAGTGTGAAAAAATAACTTTAAAAATATGAGTCAATTGATGGGCCTTAATTTCTCTTTTCATAAATCTGCTTATGTCCCTCCGCTTTTATTAAGCAACAAAATAACATGAAAAATCTGTACAGAAAATGGGCAGGATTGTTTCCTACTGCTCACTATTTTCTGCTACATAAACCTAGTGGGACTTAATTTCTCTTTTTCATAAACCTGCTCATGTCTCTCATCTTTTATTATTAAATAACAAAATAACAATAAACATCTGGATAGAAAATGTGTGTGTCTGTTTCCTACAGCTTGCTATTTCCAGCTATTGTTCTTTTTAAATGCCTGGTTCTGATTATACGATAGAGGGATAAAAAAAACAGACAATCAAACGAACTGTTTTGCTCTTAAGATTATTACAGAAACAGAGCTGAGAAATTTTTCTCGACCAGGGGCCCCCAACTCCTGGGCCGCAGCCCACTACCAGCTGTGAGCTATTTGCAACCAGGCCGTGTGAGTGGCGAGCCATCGCTCGTGCAGCCTTGTTTCCCCCTTCCCCCTCTCCCAGCCGAGCCACCAAACTGCAAAGTTGGGGGGGGGGGCTCTGTTCTAGACGGCATGTTAAGCATGTAGTGATGCATTTAATCATGTTTTTATTTGGAATTAGAGGTCTTGTTGATTATATTTGGATGGTCCTGTTGTGGTTGTTATTGCACTGTTTTATTTACCTTAAGAAAACGGAATTCCTAAGAAAAAGGAAACAGACCACCTATATTACATCTTTCAACAAAATGTGTATTCAAACAACTTTATCAAAAAGTGCCTCACCATTCAGCCCACTTCAGCACAACTGACACAAGCTATGAAAAAGATAAAATTGTTAAATATCAAAGACATTTCAGAAACAACCAACAGACTATTCCCAACACATGGCATCACCGTAGCACAGAAACCAACCAACCATTGCTCTCCAAAACATCTTAAGTAACCCTAAAGACCTGGTAGCCCAAAAAGGAAAAAAAGGACGTCTACAATACACTATGTAGGATATCTGGGTTGAAGACTAGCAGAACACATCCATGAACACCAACTAGCAGTCAGAAGACACAATGAAAAGTCCTTAATCTCACAACACATGGTTAGATTCAACCATAGTTTCAACTGAGAAATCATAAACATAACTAGACCAAATTAAATCTAAAATGCTAGAGAATTCCTGCATGTTTGACATTCAGACAAATCTGCCATCGAAAGGCATATATCGGTAAACCACATTTACAGACCGTTCAAAAGGGACAATAAAAAGCTAAGAAGAAAACAAAAAAGACCAGAACACATCTTTTCCAGCAACCAACAAGGATTAACACCAGACAATCAAGCAGTAAACAATACCCTAATTAAGGAACTACAAAGGAGAAAACCACATCTGCACAGGCAGGCCAAACTACAGAAAGCAAAACTCCCACTCACTAGCACTGAAGATTTTACCTGGTTAGATAATGAAACATCTGGAAGCCAACAACCTTTCTTAGCACCACAGTTCAACCCTGAGCTACATATGTTCCCTTCTGTTGGAATCAGTAAAAAGAATTCAAAGTAAAAGTGATTCAGCTTAATTGGGATGAAAGAAGTGAATGAATTTAATTACTTCTTATCACCAAGCAGGTCAGGGTGGGGTTATTGTTTTTACTCTTTCTATATTGGGTTTTTATTTTTTGGAAGCTGCCTGGAGTCACTGAAAGTGAATGGGCAGCCATATAAATTCTCTAAATAAAACAACAGTTTTCTTCTGGGTCAGATTCAAGGTGCTCAGTTTAACCTTTAAAACCCTTCATGACATGGGACTGGGCTATCTGACGGACTGCCTCTCCCTGGTTATATCGGACTGCCTCATTAGATCTGACAGAGAGGCATGCTGTAGACACCACCAACTGTGAACCTGCATTTGGTGTGTCCCAGGAGATGTGCTTTCTGCGATGTGACACCTGCCTTATGGAACATTCTTCCTCCTGAAATTAGATTAGTTCCATCCCTTTTGCCATACTAGAAGGCCGTTAACACCTGGTTATGTTAACCTGTGGGTCCTGAGGAACTACAGACATGCTTAGATGCTGAGCTGGTTATTCTTATCCTCTCTTCGCCTAGGATTTATGAATATGCTTTTTATAAAATTTACGTTTTAAAATTATTGGTATATTTGTATTTTATGTGTTGTTTTACCCATTTATTATACTGTACATAGACTAGAGTCACCTTAGGTGAAATGGGTGACTGTAAATTAGATAAATAAAATAGCAGGAGGAGTATTTTAGAGTTTTGAAAGTATAATTGTGCTATTTCAAAGAATAAAACTGAACAAGTGATACATTTTTGGGGAAAAAAATATTACAAAGTCATAATTGCTGTAAGAATGTTGAAAATTGGTAAGTTGTAATTATAGATATTAACTATAACTGGATAAATATTAAAATATGAATGAGCTTGTCTTACAAAGAGACTCTGGGATATTAGTATGCATATGTGAAGAATGTGTCTGTGTCTGACAATTAGAAGAATGTGATTCTTGTTTCACTATACGGAGGAAAAAGTGTGAATGCAAAAACTACAGGAGATTAGTTTATGTTTGGAAAGTATTTGGTAGAGTGCAAGAGGTGCTAATGAATAAAAATTGAGAAGTGCAATGTGTAAATCTCCAATTTACACATTTTACTACAGGTTTAGTACAATGATGCTTTTTGTAAACTAGATTTAATTACATTTCCTTCTTTTTTTCAAATGTCATGTCCTTCATTTCTTAAGTTGCTGTTTTCCATCTGAAAAGGAGTGGTATGGTTGGTGCATATATATGCGTATAGAGTTAAGTATTTTAAGTATTAGTATGTTCGCACTTTAAGTCCTTTAAATGATACTTTGATCTGCAATATTGGGTCTGATGCAAAGACCATGAATTTATGCATGGGATGAGATTTGAACAGTGAAGGTTTATATTTGTAGCTCAGTCATAATCGCAATGCTAGAAAGAATATGCTGTTATTCTGAGCATTAATAATAGATTCTAACCTGAATATGTCCTATAAAGCCACAATGTTTACTGATTTTTTTTAATCTTTAAATAGAAAATACTCCAGTACATACTTCTGATGTAGATTATAGACTGTTGGAAGCATCTAAAGCTGGAGATTTAGAAACTGTAAAGGTATGTTGGAATTTAAGGATTATAAAAATTTTAAGATAAATATGGCTATTTTAAATACAGTGAGGAATTTTTTTTTTTACAATGATAGTCTGCAGTGGCCATTGGACTTACATGCTTCTGTCCTACAATTTCTAGGTTGTTAGAATTTTTTTAATTTGTTCTTTTCATTAATGCTAATTAGTATTGCATTTCTGCCTTATACCTTGATTAGTCTTAATTGTGCTTAACTATTAGTTTAAGTTAGGTTTTTTAAAGCAGAAATAATTAAATGCATCACCTTGGAATAAAATGATAAACTATAATTAATGAAAACAGGAAAATCAAGCTTAGAGGAGAGAATAATATTTTGTGCTAAAGCAGTCTTTGACATTAAATATATATGTAGTAGTTAATATTGTGAAAAGTAATACTGGGTTTGAAACTTTCCTAACTGAAAAATATCCTACTTTTGAATAAATGCTATTTAACTGAAGCTGAAATAGAACCATGAAACATTTATTTTTAGTAAATTAAATTTTCTTTTCAATGTAATAAAATATAGAATTATTCTTTTTAATCAGATCCATAGCTGTATAGAAATCATTTTCTGTAATAGTACCCCATATATTTATGAGGTATTCTGCTTGCATATTTGGACACTTTTCTGACCATATTAGCTTTATTTCACCATTCAGGACAATTCTACACCTCCCTACTGCTCTCAGATACCAATTTGGCTTCAATATACAATGTTGCCTGATTCTGTGCAGCAACATTTAAAATATGCCAGAAGATGAAATATGCCCCAAATCAGTTTTATTACAGTGTGTTTTGTATTCGATTTGTGATATTATTTGTTTAGATATATTTTATATTATTTGTTTAAATAGATTTAGTTTGCCATGTTTTTTATGTCCATGCATTGGTTTTAGCCTTCCTGTTAGGTCATCAATGGAACTACAGATTTTAAATAGTTTTCTATAAAACTCAAATAATTAATTTTTCTTAGTAAAAATAAAAGATGACATATTGGATTTCTACTTCTTTGTATTACTTTGTGTCAAATTCGAAAGTGCTATATTAGCTTCTCATTATTGGATTTTTATTTCTGGAAAATAACCTGTATGGAATCTTAGTTATTTTATTGTAAGATAACCTGCAGCCAGAGACTTAGTTATTTTTTATATTGTCCGGGGATCTTTATTATTCTTGCTATAATGTCTTGAGGTGTGGAAGACTATTTAAGATGTCTGTGGTGAATTCTACTGTGCATGTTTTCCTTTCTCATTTTTACACAGCAACTTTGCAGTCCTCAGAATGTGAATTGTAGAGACTTGGAGGGACGTCATTCAACCCCATTGCACTTTGCTGCAGGTTATAATCGAGTTTCAGTAGTTGAATACTTGCTTCATCATGGAGCAGATGTACATGCAAAGGATAAAGGGTAATTGAGACCATGCAATTTACTGTTTTATGTATGGGTAGAATGAACTCTTTTCTCATCTTTGGAAAACTTCCTTAGTCCACCTCACCTTGTTAAATACATTATTTTCTTCCCTACAGAGACAAATCAATTACAATTTGATATACTAGTTCCAGAAATGTCTGCTCATTAAAACCTTGGTCAAATTCAAGCAGATGATCAAGATATCTAATCTGACAGAGCCAGTATCTATGAGAGCCGTTTCTAGCCTAGTTAAGGCAACAGGCTAGAAACCAGGAGATTGTGAATTCTAGTCCCAAAGTTGGGGTGGTGATTTTGGACCAGTCACACTCTCTCAGCCCAGCTCACTTCATAGGATTGTTGTTATGGGGAAAATAGGATGAAGTAGAAGTATTAGATGTCTTCATCACCTTGAATTATTTATAAAATTTGTAAAGGTGGGATAAAAAGTAAATAATAAAATTTACCATCTGTGCTGTGGTGCAATTTCCCTTTCATCCTGGACTATCTCTAGATACTTTTTAAACGTTTTATAAAACCTACATTGTATGTCTTTCTGGCACAAATTCATGCTCCTCCCATTAAGGGGACAATTGGCTGATATACTGGCCTTCCGGTGCTTGCTTCCTAGTGCATTTAGGTGCAGTTTAAAGATTTCTTTATCTATTGTGCTTTTTTTTTTAATAGCCAAAAAAGAAAAACAGTAGCTTAAATTCACATCTGTTTAATCTTGTTCAGTATTAATGTGTGCAGAAACTGAGATTGCTGTCTCTCCATCTTGGTCATTGCAGCTTTATCCTTGCAGTGGTTATTATTGCAGATTATTGCCACATTTCTCACAGTTGTTGATTCTTCTGTCCTGTAAAGTGAGCTCCTGGATGTAGACAGTTTATAACCTCAATTAAAATAACCTGACTAAAATAGAAAAGTAAGATGGCAGTTATTTTGAAGGATAACTATTTTTTTGCTTTTAGATCTTGATAAATACTCTTAATTTTTTTTAACTTATCAGTGGATTAGTACCTCTACATAATGCTTGTTCATATGGACACTATGAAGTTGCAGAGTTATTAGTGCGACATGGAGCTTCCGTCAACGTTGCTGATTTATGGAAGTTTACACCGCTACATGAAGCAGCAGCAAAGGGAAAATATGAAATCTGCAAGCTCCTTCTCAAAGTATGTGCTTTATTTATTTTTTGCAAACAGTCTTTGTTTACTTCAGACTGTGACGCATAATAACATAGGCAGCAAAACTGTGTAATTTTCTTCAGAATAGAACTCTACTTAGGATAATAATAAACAGTTATATTGTTTTTTAAGAAGGCATTGTACTCTAAATTTAGATTGCAGTATAACTACAAATTGTAATATCTCTGCAAAGGAATTGTTTGCATGTGCGCTGAGCAGTACAATCATCTGCATAATGCTGGTTTGTAATCTGCTGCAAAACTATTAGTAACAATTAGGATGCAATGCTGTCTGTAAATTTATTTATTTTTGTAAATTTTATTTGAGTTTTCACAAAAAGAAAAGAAATACAATTAAAACATATTTTTTGAAAGCAGCATAATCCTGGGTTACATTTCTTCGTACAGACGCAAATTCAAGTTCATGCTCATTTTTATATTCTATTCCATATCTTATTACTATTTTACATTTTCTACATGGCTTCTCCCCTCTTTTAATTTCCTCAATTTTATTTTATTTATTTCATCTCAATTCAAATCATTATATTTATATTTTTTGTCTGTCCTGTTTCAATTGTCTATTATCTTTTCTCATTAAACAAAATTTCTCCTGTAGTTACTGATTGGAGTATGATGCCTTTATATCTTTCCCCTAAAGTTATAACACTCAATATAATACATAACTTCCATTTGGATTCTGCTTGGTACATTCTTAAACTACACACAGTATTCTTGAACAAAAAGAAAAAGAAAAAATTATAAATGTAAATAATTAAAACAACATTCCATTCCAATTCAATTCTATCATTAATATTAATATTCATTAAAGTCTTAACATTTTCCACGTTACTTTTCAATTAAATATCATACTTCTATGGGAACAATTATAAACTTTCCATAGTCAATTCCACCCCCCCTCTTCACTTATATTTTATAAAACATTGACTAATTAAAATTTTCCCATTCCTTCCTAATTCAATTTTCTCATTTATTTTATTTCATTTACTTTATTCACAAACATTTCACTAAATTACACTAACCATTCGATCCCTCATTCTCATCATATGTTGTTTCCAATTTTCTAAAGTTATTTCTATTACAAATATAACAACACAATCTCATGTACCTTTACAGAATCCCCCTTTCAATTAGATTTTCACCCATTATCTCTAAATAGGTCCTGTTTCTTTATATCTTGCTCCGGACCTTTGTAACTTCTTTTCCTTTCCTTCTTCCCTCTCTTCTTCTCTCTCCCCTTTTTACCCCTTTGTCTCTCTACCTCTATTTCCCTCTCCTGTATTCCCCTTTTCTGTTGCTTTCCAGTATTATACTTATTTTTCGAATTATTTTTCTTTTCTTTGGTTGTTTTTTTAAGTCTTAAATTCTCCATCCTCTTTTCCCCCCCTTTCCTTTTTCTTCCCCACATAGAGTTACTTGTTCATTAAAGATGGCTTCTTCTTTGTCCCAGTCTTCTTGTTTTGCAGTCTTTTCTTGTTGTTTCTCATAGTTCCAAATCTCCATTCTAAGAATTGAAAAACAAAGCTAAAAGAACCCTTCCCTTCTTGTGCTTCTTCTTTGTACTTTTTAAGTTCCATTTTCAATTCATCCAAAAGTGATGCCATTGTAGAAATTTTTAAACAACCACCCGATTGATGTTAGTCATTCAAATATAATAACCAAAAATCCAAAAGTCACCAAGTAATCCAAATACACACAAGCTGTTTCTTTTTGCTCTTTCTTTTTTTCCCCACGTTCTCTTCCTGGGGTTACTATTTAGTTGCAAAGTTTCAGTTAAAATGTATCTTTTAGAAGTCTTATTGAAATTTTACTTTAGATTCTTTTAAAGTCCAGGCAGTCTCCTCCCTCTTCCAGATCCTGCCCTTATTCTTTTTCTCTCCCTTCCTGCTTATAGAAGAAAAAGGTTTTAATGTCCAGAAATCTTTATTGTCCCTTTGGCATTTAGTTATATTTTCAGCTTAATTGCCTATTAATGCCAAAGCGGATTTTTCCAATTTCTTATTCTTAATTGTCAATATAAGGAAGGAGAGAGAAGAAGAAAAAAAAGCCAAAACTTTCCCTTTTCACTTTCTTTCGCTGCTTCAGACTTTCTTTGGGAGCGATGTTATTTCTTGTAAAATTTAAATTCCAGGGTACCTTAGTTGTTGCTTTTTCAACTTAGCCCGGTCAGCCAAAACTTTCACTTCTTATCTTCCTCCTGCACGTTCTTTTCCGGTTGAGTTCTTCTTTGAGGTGGCCATTCCTGATCACCGCTGCAACCGCCTTCGGGAAAGGGAGTAATGGCCAGATGAGGAGGAGAGATGCGGCTCCCCTTGACCCTGCTGGCGGTCTCCCCCCTCTTCACCACCTCTACGGGATGGCTTAGCCCCGAAACCAGCCGGCTCGGGGCGCTCCAGCGGCGAGCCCAGGCAGAAACCGCGCACGATCGCGGATTCCTGTCTGTCGCCGAAGCCCTTCAAACTGGAAGTTTCAATGCTGTCTGTAAATTTTTCAGGTTGGAAAGACAGGGAAACAAAGCTGGCTTCTGTTTACCATTGCTTCCCCAGAAATCCATAAAATTGCTTTTTTCAAAATGCATTGATTTCTCGACTGTCAATAATAGTGTTTTCATGAACAACCAGATTTATTGACAGTTTCTCTGTCTCTTTCACTAACAATTTAATTCAGCATTTCATTTTGCCCCCATAAAATGTTTCAAAAGGGGCTTCCGGTTTGAAGTCTCTTGGGCGACAGACAGAAATCCGCGATCGTGCGCGGTTTCAGTCTGAGCTTGCCACTGGAGCGCCCCAAGCCGGCTGGTTTCAGGGCTAAGCCACCCCATAGAGGTGGTGAAGAGGGGGGAGACTGCCAGCAGGGTTGAGGAGAGCCGCATCTCTCCTCCTCAGCTGGCCACTACTCCCTTTCCCGAAGGCAGTTGCAGCGGTGGTCAGAAATGGCCACCACAAGGAACAACTCAACCGGAAAAGAACGTGCAGGAGGAAGATAAGAAGTGAACGTTTTGGCTGACCGGGTTAAATTGTAAAAGCAACAACTAAGATACCCTGGAATTTAAACTTACAAAAAAATAACATCGCTCCCAAAGAAGAGTCGGAAGCAGCGAAGGAAAGTGAAAAGGGAAAGGTTTGGGTTTTTTTTCTTCTCTCCCCTTCCATATACTGACAACTAAGAGACTTAAATAAGAAATTGGAAAAATCCACTTTGACATCAACAGTTAATTAAGCTGAAAATAAAACAAAATGTCAAAGGGATAATAAAGATTTCTGGACACTAAAAATTTTTTTTTTCATAAGCAGGAAGGGAGAGAAAAAGAATAAGGGCAGGATCTGGAAGAGGGAGGAGACTGCCTAGAATTAAAAAGAATCTACAGTAAAACTTCAACAAGACTTCTAAAAGATACATTTTAATTGAAACTTTGTAACTAAACAGTAGAACCCCAGGAAGAGGAAGTGAAAAAAAGGAGCAAAAAGAAACAGCTTGCGTGTATTTGGATTACTTGGTGATCTTTGGATTCTTGGTTATTGCATTTGAATGACTAAAATTAATCGGGTGGTTGTTTAAAAATTTATACAATGGCACTACTTCTGAATGAATTGAAAATGGAACTTAAAAAGTACAAAGAAGATGCACAAGAAGGGAGGGGTTCTTTTGGCTTCGTTTTTCAATTCTTAGAAATGGAGATTTGGAACTATGAGAAACAACAAGAAACGCCTGCAAAACAAGAAGACTGGGACAAAGAAGAAGCCATCTTTAATGAACAGGTAATTCTATGTGGGGAAGAAAAAGGAAAGGGGGGGAAAGAGAATGGAGAATTTAAGACTTAAAAAAACAACCAAAGAAAAGAAAAATAATTCAAAAAATAAGTATAATACTGGAAAGCAACAGAAAAGGGGAATACAGAAGAGAGAAATAGAGGTAGAGAGACAAGGGGGTAAAAAGGAGAGAGAGAAGAAGAGAGGGAAGAAGGAAAGGAAAAGAAGTTACAAAGGACTGGAACAAGATATAGAGAAACAGGACCTATTTAGAGATAATGGGTGAAAATCTAACTGAAAAAGGTATTCTGTAAAGGTACATAAGATTGTATTGTTATATTAGTAATAGAAATAACTTTAGAAAATTGGAAACAATGTATGATTAAAATGAGGGATAAAATAGTGTAATTTAGTGAAATGTTTGTTAATAAAATAAGTGAAATAAAATAAATGAGAAAATTGAATTAGGAAGGAATGGGAACATTTTAATTAGTTAATGTTTCATAAAATATAAGTGAAGGGGGGGAATTAATTATGGAAAGCTTATAATTGTTCCCATAGAAGTATGATATTTAATTGAAAAGTAATGTTAAAGAAGTTAGATTTTAATGAATATTAATATTAATGATAGAATTGAATTGGAATGGAATGTGTTGTTTTAATTACATACATTTATAATTTTTTCTTTTTTTAAGAATATAGTATGTATTTTAAGAATGTAGCAAGCAGAATCCGAATGGAAGTTATGTATTATATTGAATGTTATAACTTTAAGGTATACATTGAAGCCTAAATAAGAGTTAAATGGATAAACTTAAAAGATATAAAGGCGTCATACTCCAATCAGTAACTACAGGAGGAATTTTGTTTAATGAGAAAAGATAATAGATAATTGAAACAGCACAGACAAAAATATAAATATAATGATTTGAATTGAGATGAGATAATTAAAATAAAATTGAGAAAATTAAAAGAGGGGAGAAGCTATGTAGAAAATGTAAAACAGTAATAAGATATGGAATAGAACAAAAATGAGCATGAAGTTGAATTTGTGTCTGTACGAAGAATTACGCTACTTTCAAAAAAGATGTTTTATTTGTGTATTTTTTTTCTTTGTGAAAACTCAAATAAAATTTACAAAAAAAAATGTTTCAAAAGTTTGTTTTGTAAGAGATTTCTGCCACATGATACTTTAGACTAGAGATCAAAAGTCAAGAGCATGTATGGTTGTTCTAAAGGCTAAGAAGGATTTCTTGATTTGCCAAAAAGATTTTTAGAGAAAGCTGTTACAAGAATTATTCTTAATATAGGATGTTAAATTTGATGACTTCTGGGCCTGATAATTAAATGTGGTCTGTTATTTTTTCATACATTTATTCAAATATAGTCAAAATATATTTTGTGTATATTATTTCATTTACACTTAGAACTTTTAAATATTTTCTTTAAATCCTGAAAAAAAAATATTTTTCAACTGCTTATATAGAACCATGCAAAAAAGTTAAATGTTATAACTGGTTGCCATAATATGAGTTACCAGAACTTGATGTCATGGCATCAGGAAATAGTTCTGTGATATTAGAGTATGATATTAGAGTATCAACCAAAAATAAATATTTGGAAACACGCATACATAACTTCATTTTATACTTTAAATCCCCTGGCTCTAAAGAAACCAGATATATTCATGAAACATTTATTTGGAAATCCTTGGACATTCTTACTCAAAAACATTTCTCAGAGGAGGAATACCAGTTAGGTCAATAATCAAACTGCCACCTAACAGCCATCCTTAGAAACGCAAGGGTCCTAAGAAAGGCTTTAAAAAGAATTGTCCCTGTGGTGATACTGAGGCTGGACAGTTGATGGCTGGAGACTCCAAACTTTCTCTTCCTTGGGCTTTATAGCTCAGTTATGCTGCCTGCTTTAGAGTAGTGGACTAAATAGTTCCTGTGGCCACCAAAGGCGATCAAAGCCTTTGACTGGGATTGAAGTAAAAAACAACACATGACTTTGTTTTCCTTATCCTGAAACACCCCTCTACAACACACACACACACACACACACACACACACACGCCTAGCTCTTCAAAGAAGCGCTGAGTAGTTTGGAGTAATTTGAGCATGCATGAATTCTAGAGTCATCATGTAACTCTGCATTAATTGGGCTAAAGCTCTTCTGCCCTGTAGAAATTACAGGTAGTCCTCCACTTACGACAATTGAGACCAGAATTTCTGCTGCTAAGCAAGGCAGTTGTTAAGTGAGTCATGCACAGTTTTATTATCTTTTTGCCATGGTTAAGCTTAACCATGATTTGCTTAAATAATAATTAAATAATTAAGTTGTTACATGAACCAGGCAATCATTAAGCGAATCTGGTTTCCCTCGTTGGCTGTCACTCAGAAACTGGTTGGGAAGGTGGCAAATGGCGATGACATGACCCTACAGCACTGCAACCATTGTAAATACATGCCTGTTGCCAAGCACCCGAATTTTGTTCATGACTGTGGGGATGTTGTGACTGTTGTAAGCATGAGGAATGGTTGCAAGTCACTTTTGTCAGTGTCATGGTAATTTTGAACAGTCACTAAATGATTATAAGTTGAGGACTGCCTATAATTGCCTGCAGAGATAATGCATTGTGGGGCACATTTTCATATAAAGATATGGTTCTCAGCATATTATTGCCCTTTGGAGAATGAATCAGAAGAGCGTGAAATGAAAAAATGAAAACTGCTTAAAGTTAGATATTAGTTATAGCATGTTATTTGTTTATACCTTCTTTTAAATTTGGAAAATATGTTCTTAAATAAGTGTCTTGTTTGCTTATACCGTTTTGAAAGCACCTTGATAGGCCTACATAACATTAAAACATAAATGGCAAATATATTTGGTACTATATTTGGTGACATAGAGGATAAACTTTTCAGCTGTAAAACAGTAGAAATGTTGTTTGCAGCATGGAGCAGATCCAACCAAAAAGAACAGAGATGGCAACACCCCTCTGGACTTGGTGAAAGAGGGAGATACTGATATCCAGGACCTGCTGCGAGGGGATGCTGCCCTGCTGGATGCTGCTAAAAAGGGCTGCTTGGCACGAGTTCAGAAGTTATGCTCTCCAGAAAACATCAATTGCCGGGATACCCAGGGCCGAAACTCCACCCCGTTACATCTTGCTGGTAAGTGAGCGATTGGGTTTATTTATTCATAGGAAGTCCTCCATGGAACAGATTTAAGAAACTTTGACAAGCACATGTCTTTTGAACAATTTATCACGGTATTTGGTCTACGATTCCTTCATTGCTGCATTTTCATTCATGCGGTATTTCTTTTTACACATAGCTGGTTATAATAATTTGGAAGTTGCTGAGTATCTTCTAGAACATGGTGCTGATGTAAACGCTCAAGACAAGGGAGGATTAATTCCACTACATAATGCGGCATCCTATGGGGTAAGCATTAATTAATAATCTCAGTGTAGTCAAGACTACACTGCTTGCATTACATTAAAAAGTATAAAACAAGTAGAAGAAACCAGAGCAACCAAAAGGGAATAACAGCATAAAATTGGTTGTATTTCAGTCTTCTACAAAATGTTGCTGAAATATGTACAAGGGGAATTGTAAGATTTGTATCAATTGATGAGAATATTTGTAACTCGGGATTTAATTGAAGTCATTGGCGCTCTCTGATCTTGATTGTTTTCTTGCAGACATTTCATTACCCAACTAGGTTACAGGACAGACAAGTTGTATATAAACAGAAAGCAAAGCCCATTCCCTTCTAGCAGTGATGATTTTACTTAATTGGATAATGAAACTTCTGCAAGAAAACAACCAAGTTCAGAGAGCACCAAGGACCCCAGTATAAGATCTGTCTTGCTACTTGGTAAAAAAACAAACAGACACGTAATTGTTTGAAATAGTCATGTGAATATCATGTTATCTCTTGGTAAATATTTCTCTATTATGAAGGTGAAAACTTAAGATTAGATTAAATGATGTATGGATCAAAAGTCCTGTTTTCTATTTTCTGCCTTAGTTGTAATTAGTTGTGTTAGCTTTTTTCAGTTCTTGCATAGAAAAATAAAAAGGACACATGCACCTCCCATATTAAGAAAGTTTAGATGGTTGAAAGTTGTATATTTTGCATACTGGTTAACTAGTGTGCTTGTTGCTCATAGATCTCTTTGAATAGAACTATCTAATTATATTATTTATTATGTTTACACTGCTGCATACATCCAGCTCTGTCACAGCTTTGAATGTATAACAAATCATTTAACAATGTTTGCTTTTCTTTTTTAAATTGGGAATTCTTCCTATTATTTTTTTCATTTTTCCCCAGCATGTGGATATAGCAGCTCTATTGATTAAGTATAATACCTGTGTAAATGCTACAGATAAATGGGCATTTACGCCATTGCATGAAGCAGCACAAAAAGGAAGGACGCAACTCTGTGCACTACTTCTAGCTCATGGAGCAGATCCAACAATGAAGAATCAAGAAGGCCAAACCCCTTTGGATCTTGCCACAGTAAGTAATGATGTTTATTTCAGTATTTAGATCAGCTGACTACAGTGGTAATCATTTATTTCCTTCATTGACCACATTTATTTAGTGAAATATGACAGTAAACGTACGGAAATGGATTTGACCTGAATCTGTTTCTTTAAAAATTTTGAGGAGCTAAAGTCGTTGCTCTATTATAATCCAGTGAGAATACAGAAACCACACAATTTATTATACCACATTGGTTCAATATATATTGGATGTTTGGTAAGGCAGGATAAGAAAATATTTTTGATTTGTGCAGATTGAATCCCTGATTTTTTAATTCATTGCTTCATTTAGACAACTTACAATGTGTAATGTGGTTGCAATTACTATTTAACAAATTGCTTTATTCCTTTCATTTTTTAATTGCTTGAACTTTATCTGTAACTTCAAAAACAAATTGTTTTTTTTAAATGCTTCACATATGTGAACACCTAAAAATTTTATGTACAGAATACATAAAAGAGAACTGTCTGAGGGTAAACTATTTTGTAATATTTCAAAGTGTTGTGGAAAGTAAATGTCTTTCTGGTTCTATTTTACTACTTCCAAAAACAAGAATGGTTCCAAAGATCGATGACTTGAATATTTGCAAATATTCAAATATTCTTTGAATGTTTGCTTTTGAATATAGAGATAGTTATTTTGCTTAAACTATTTCTTTAAAAATGATTGGTTTTGGTTTTATTTTTTAAAACACCATTTTATTTCCAGGCTGATGATATCAGAGCCCTGCTTATTGATGCAATGCCTCCTGAAGCCTTGCCAACGTGCTTTAAACCTCAGGCCACTGTTGTTAGTGCCTCTATCATTTCGCCAGCATCCACTCCATCTTGTTTGTCTGCTGCCAGCAGTATAGATAACCTTGCAGGACCTCTGGCTGAAATTGCAGTGGCAGGTGCATCTAATGCTGGAGATGGAGCAACAGGAACAGAGAGGAAAGAAGGAGAAGGTACTCTTCCTGATTATAGGAAATTGCCAAAGTCACAGTTTTAAATATGCATAATGGGAAATCATCTTTAATCCTAATTTTTGAGGAAATAAATCTGTTTAGGTCATGACTTCTAAGGCTTTGTAAAACAACCTAACATTTGAAGAATATGCATAATGGGAAATCAATCTTTAATACTAATTTTTGAGGAAATAGGTCTAAGGTCCTTATTTAGATCATGATTTTTAAAGCTTTGTTGGTGGGGGGGGGGGAAACCTTATCGCTTGAAGAAATAGATAAAAAAGATTTTCCCTTTGGAGTAACTATTTTTCTGGACTTTGGTTGTCTTTTTAAATTTGGGACTTTAAATTAGTGAACATAGATATTTAGTTTTTGTATAAACTTGATAGAAATAGGGCATATATGAAACTATTGTCAAAATTGTAAAAACTGTAGGATGATGGATGTTTTTGAGGAACAAATATCTTTTCGTGTTTGTTGTGCTACCAACCAGCATGAGTAAGTTACTCATTAAGTTATATAACAACATTGGAGGAGGAGGAGGAGGTGGATAAAGCAGAGAAAATGGAATGTGCAGATGGTAGCTTTATCTGACACATGTAACTCTTAATGCTCACCAAAAGAGTTTTTATTAATAAAAATGCCCATACATTTTGGGTCTATGTCTCTTGTTTATTATTTTTATTTTTTTCTAGTAAAGATTTGCTTTCTTGTAGAACATGCAATAAGAGGAAGTATTTCAGATTGAAAAGTTAAAGGACTAAGGATTTGAATGGAAGCTTGGTGGATAGTTTGTATTGATGACTTACATGAAGGATATTTTTTTGTTGTAGTTGTTGGTCTTGATATGAATATCAGCCAGTTTTTGAAGAGCTTGGGTCTGGAGCATCTCCGGGATATATTTGAAACAGAACAGGTAAAAATGATCTTAAGCTAGTGTTGCATTTATTCTTCAATTTCAGTTCAATAATGTACATGAAATGGAAAGATGTGATAGATAGCATCCAAAGAATCTCATAGCTAAGTTTTCTGTGTGTGAGAGAGAGAGATTTGGTTTTTTGTTTTTAAAACTGACATACTTTATGGTCAAATAAAGCAGATGGTAATACAGTATGAACCCTGCTTTTGTAGAGATGAATTTAAAAAGAGCTACTGGGAAGTTATCTGGAATCAGCTATTTGATTAAATTCAGTTTTGCTTAAGATGGCAAAGCAATTTAACTAATAACTTTAATCAGTTTATTTCTTCTTCAGCCCTACTGCCCTCTTTTAAAAAAAAAATCCAGGTATCAACATCTTGTATAGCATTAGGCCTACTTCGTTTCTTCTCATTTCAATTAATGTGCAAATAATTTGCCTAAGTTCTATATTGAAAACGAAGGAATAAATATTGATGCTTTTGTTACTTATCTAGCATTTTTCCATCCATTGTTTCAGCAAAGGGAGTTCAAATTACATTTTTTTTAAACTCAGGGGTGGGTTCTACCGGTTCTGTCCACCTCTGTAGAACCGGTAGCTCTGAAGAGCAGCAGACATAGAACCAGTTCTGTGTCTGTTGATGTTTTTGCCCACCCACCCACCTGGGCTCTTACCTGATCTTTATTTCCTGATTTGAGGCACAGCTGCAGTTAAAAAAAGCAGGAAAAGAGGGCTGTTTCAAAGGCTGCATCTCTGCACACAGCATGCTGATGACGATTTACAGGCACCCACCCGCAGCGCAGCATGCAGGGAAGCACATCGTAAATCACTGAACCTCATAAATGACCGAACTGGTAGTTAACCCTGTCGGATCCCACCCGTTTAAACCCAAAGCAAACAGTTGCACTGAAAGTTGAAGAGTGAGAGAAATGCTTGGTGCTTGCTACCAGTTATTTTTCTCCTGTCTTCAGCTGCTACCAGTGCAATTTATCTGACCAGCCAGCTGGGCCCTTAATCTTCCTAGATTGCATTCTCCATCCCTACTTAAAATATACTGATGTTGTCTTTACTAGGTTGAAGGTGACTAATGAAAAATGCTACTTTTTGCTTCTGTCTGTGCTGTTCAGATTACCTTGGATGTACTAGCAGACATGGGTCATGAGGAGCTGAAAGAAATTGGCATCAATGCCTATGGGCACCGTCACAAGTTAATAAAAGGTGTAGAGAGGCTTCTAGGTGGGCAACAGGGTAAGTCTGTTAATCTACTAAAAATCAATTTGAGATTCAGCTAAGAAGTAAAGTCTCCTTTCATAAGTTACAGAAATTCAGGAGAGGTCTTAGTTTGGGGAAGGAAAGCAGTAAGGGAGAACAAAAACAAAAATATTGATAAATAAAATGAAATGAGAACTCTTTTTTTTTTTTTTTTTTGGTATACTCAGAATCATTTTCCATTTTGTGATATCCCATATCTAACATTCCCAATTGTGTGATGTTCCACATGTGGTCAGCCTCTCCCATGTAATGTACGTATTGTAGCTCTTGTCGTTCTCCAGATTCAGGGACGTTGTTTCGGTTTTTCAAGTTTAAGGAATTGCCACCTTGTTCTTTTTTCCTTTTGACACTTATAATCAATTATAATGAGAGAGTACATTTTATGAGTCCTCCAGAATCTTAGCTGTTGTCTAATCTCTCTGGGCAAAGAGATTGCAAACCTTAGAAAACAACTTTAATTTACTTTTTAAAATCCAGTGATTTTTAAAATGATGGCAGCGGACAGTACTCCTTCAGTCCTAGTTTTATAGTTGGTACTTCTTGGTGAACCTATGTGCATAAAAGTTTAATATATTTTCCTTTTCAGGCACCAATCCTTATCTGACTTTTCACTGTGTCAGCCAAGGGACAATTTTTATAGATCTTGCTCCTGATGATAAAGAATACCAATCTGTAGAAGAGGAGGTAAAAAAAATCAATTTAAAAAAAGCTTAAGATAGGTCTTTGAATATAACACAATTGTTTCTTTGTTTTACAAATGTTTCTGTACTATGCAGCACCCAAGTAGTCAAGTAATTCTAGATAACATAGTGGGATTTTGTACATATACAATCTACCTTGCAGGAGACATGAAAACTCCTTAATTTCACAAAACATGGAAAGGCTTAAGCTTGTTTCAGAGGTAGGAAATTGTGAGTATCCTAAAACAAGCTCCCAAAATGCTGAGGAATTCCTTGATGCTTAACATTCAAACAAATCAGCCATCAAAAGGCACATAGAGGTAGACCACATTTACATACCATTCAATAGAGACAAAAGAAAGCTAAAAAGGAAACAAAAGCAGAACATCTTACCAGCAATTAACACTCTGATAAGCAGGGATTAACACTAGACAAGCAGTCAAGCAGGAAACAGCAACATAACAAAGGATCTACCAAGGAGAAAGCAAAGCCTCACCAACATTGACAGGGCAAGCTACTATATTTATTTATTTACTAGATTTATATGATACCCTTCTTGGTGTTAACAGCAACTCTGGGTGGCTTACAGGGTAATAAAAAGTGAAAAAAGTAGTTCAAAGCCCTTAAAATTAGAAAGATTAAATAAGAAACAAAAATCAAGAGGACAGATGAGATTGGGATTGAGGTCTTTTCTCTACCCAGCAGCTACTGCCAACCTAGAACACCCGTATAAAACCCCACTCCCTTCTAGCATTGGAGATCTAGTTGGGTAATTACGGTAAATGTCTGCAAGCAAATCAAGGTCAAAGAGCACCATGACTTCACAGTTGATCCCTGAGCATAATCCAAGATATACAAAGAATGGCAAACTAAGGGTGGAAGTTCGTCATCTCTTTGAGTCACTTTTATACTAGAAGAACATTCTGTTTTCACATAAAAATACGTATATTTTTGCTTACATGTATTCTTTGCATATTGCTAGAATGAATACAGCATCGTGGTTTATTTGCACCATGAAAAGTTCAGAATTTTATGGAAGTGTTACTTTTCCTCAGTTTGAAGAGATCTTACATGCCTTTTTCTACTTCCTGTACTTAAGAAGAAACCCCTATTAAGGATAGTTTGCATTCAGGATTTAATGCAATAGATATCATTAAATGTCTACTTGAAAGCCAATGGGGAAACTGGAAATTTCAGAAGTAGCGGACAGGGAAAAGTTTAAACATTTTCTTAACATCTAGTCCCAAACCCACTGACTCAGTGATTGTTCTGTTTAGAAGGACTTTATCCTGTGTAATTTGCTTTTTTTTTTTCAAAATCTTTCTATACTTATAATACATTACGTGCAGATAGAGTCTTGCGAGCTGACCAGGTGTAGAAATAATTCAGAAATGAAGTCTTGCTATTGCGAGAGAAGCCAAAATTGCATTGCTAGTCTCACACATCCCAAAGTTTGAAAGAGTCTCTTTATGAGTCAGAAGGTGGCAGCAAATGTCCTCTGCTCTTGTAAACTAAGTGAAGTCGGCCCTGCTGGCTGGCACTTCGATGGGAGACTTTCAAGGAATACTAAGACATAAGCTAAATGTGGAGGTGAAGAAATGTAACAGAAATAGTGCAAACCTCTTTCTTATTGTAATTAAGAAACATTGGATTTATACAGAGATGTGCTGAATTGGAACTTGCAAAGCAGCCTCTTCCAAAAAAAAAAAAAGTTTGATAAAAATTAACATTGCAACCACGAATGGTTGTGGCAAGATGAAATGGAAAGGAGCATATGGAAAGGATTTGCAGGAGTGGAAGAGCCTAAGGCAGCTCCCACAACAGCCTGCTGTTAGATCCCAAGAGGATGTGAGCATTTGAGGAATACCCTGGAGAGATTGGGCTGATGCACTGTTGCCTAGCAGCATTAATCATTCTTATCTCTCTTGACTGACTTGGTTCCAGATAAACAGCAGGAAAGAGAAAGCAAGACAAACAGGATGCCTTTGTTTTTCCAGATCCACCACCAAGTGAAGACTGTTCCCTCCCACTTTTCCTCCACCCCCCCCCCCCCGCCCATTAATTTATTGGCAGCCCATCTATACTTTGTCCATGATCTCAATAAACAGAATTGAAATTGAATATTGGCAGCATGCACCTAGATTTATTCAACTAAATAAGATTTTACGTTTACTGACATTTGATTGTTTAACAGATGCAGAGCACCATCAGGGAACATAGAGATGGCGGTAATGCTGGGGGAATCTTCAACAGATATAATGTCCTTAGGGTAAGTTTTCGAAGGCTTTATATGTCTAGCTCAAAAATTATTGATAGAAACATCAAATCGGTTGATCCAGCAGAAGGAAGTAGTGATGATACTGTGTTTAGCTTCTTGATTTTGAAGCTCTTTTGACTATCATCTAGGGCAGTGATGGTGAACCTTTTAGAGACCGAGTGCCCAAACTGCAACCCAAAACCCACTTATTTATCACAAAGTGCCAACACGGCAATTTAGCCTAAATACTGAGGTTTTAGTTTAGAAAAAACAACTCATACATTTAACATCTTTAGTCTTTAAAGAAAAACACAATAACAGAGCTTTCAATGATACAAACAACTTTTTTTGATATTTACAATTTTGGGCCCACCTCAACCATAATTTATTTAATTATGTTTTTACATTTCTGAACTGTCCATCTCCCTCAAAGAGGGAATCTTGCTGATGGCAGCTCTGTCCCTAAATACATTTGGGCAACATTAATAGAGGATTTGAATCCCAAAATCAAGCACAGTCTTCCCATTCATCTTTCTAGTAAGTGAATGGCCCACTTCATCTATTCTTAAACACCAAATATTCCTGGTTGCTATGCTCTGTCTACAAGATAGAATTGTGGACTATTAAAGAAATATGTTGCATAACACAGTCAGACAAATATTTTCAGGTCCTTTTACACATGGATTAACAATGGCTAACATCCCTATCAATTTAGCCACTTGATTGAAAATTTATGGGTTTAGGATGATTTACAGCAATTAAAAGCTAGCGTGTTTATTAGCCCTTTTGGCAAAAAGAGTCTTAATTGTGAGTGCTAGAACCATTAGAATATTTCTTGGGGGTGGGTGAAGGTATTTTTCTATCCTAATTTCTAGTTTGTTTTGTATTATATTAAAACAACATTCAACAATTGTTTTAAATTCTACAAATTACACAGCCATTGATAATAACTGAAGTAATCATCCTCCTTTTTTCAGAGAGTAAACCTGTCTGAAGAAACACAACCTACCACAAATCCTACTGTGCCTTAGTATGAAGTATGATCCCAATCCAGAACTTTCATCAATGAATATGTTTAATGTCATGTTCATGCAACATATGTCATAGTTTGCATAACTGATTTGCTCAAAATAGTCAAATTTGTGGACTATGCCAAGCCAAAAAATCCCTTTATGACAGAGTGCTATATGGATGAGACTTGTAGTTGTACATATTTACAAATTCAATAAAGATTCAGGGGTGACTTTACCACAGTATCCAAATTAAGACAGTTAATTCAGGACCCGGTTGAGCAAGGGTTGTCTACGGCACTGCTTGACAGGCCCGCAACCTTGGTGCCACCTATCCACCACGGAGAAAGGGTCTGGTTCTTTCTAACGGAGTGCTTCATGTTAGTCTTTCCTTGCTTCTTTTCCTCCAGGGGGTGGAGGGCTCCAGAAGGAGATTGGGGCAGCCCCAGTGGGATCAGGTATCTTGCGGGCAAAAAGTGAGGAGGGAGGAGAGAAGAGCCTGACAGAGTTGGAGCTGCAGAAGTGGAGACCGATGTTTACAGCGGGCTGAGGTAAACCTCTGTCTCTGCTCCTGCAGCTCCAGCTCCGTCAGGCTCTTCTCTCCCCCACCTCACTTTCTGCCAGGGTGAGGACCCTCCCCCCTAGGCCACCCTGCGAGACTCCTGATCCCACCCGGGCTTCCCCAATTGGTGAACTCTGGCGAATTCTGCTGGGGTGAGGGTGCGCGTGCCCACAGAGAGGGCTCTGAGTGCCCTCCTCTGGCACACATGCCATAGGTTCACCACCACTGATCTACGGTGAGCAAAGCATTTGAAAGAGATGCTTTACAAAATATATTACTAATGGCCTTTTTGCTGAAAAGGAATAAAAATGAACTGGTGACTTCTGGATTTACCAATGTAAAAGGACTGTATGGAGAGAAGGGAAACTACATTATGTAATCTTGAAGAGGGGAAATGGTATCAAGTATATCTATAACTGCTGCAAAGAAAATTGGAAATCACTTTAACTATTCTTTATTCTTTCTCTTTTTCCTTGCTCTTGGTTGTTTTCAATACATTTTTCTTTATCTTTTTTCTCCTATCTTTTTTGTGTTTATCTTTTAACTTTGTAAAAAAAAGATCTTTAATAAAAATTATGTATATATAAAAATACAAGTGCCTTAGTGCAAGCAAAGCAAGTCTCTTTGAAGCACCAAAGCAAGTTCACCCTTTGCAAGTTTGTGCAGCTGCCGCAAAGGCTGTTCTCACATGTCGGCATTGTGCAGGCACAGATCATACTTCTGTGGAGCCGAGCAGCCAAGCACAAAGGCTGGAGGCAGCTTTTGAAACAACTGCACCAGCCCTTGCAAAGCTAAGTTCACTCTTGGAGGACAGCTGCTTTGTTTATACTAACATTCACCACTGCTTGGAAGACTGAACATTTCAAGCCCTTTTCATCTCCCTCGTGGCTTTAAAATATTAAGTCTTAAATTATTAATTTATACAGTAAATAGAATATACATAATATATAATTTTTATTACATTTTATATTGTCTTCTTTAACTGATCAGAATTTTAAAAAAGGATATGTGTATGAGGATTTCTTTACTTATCTGCAAGGCTATCAAATTTCTAGTTCAGGTTCTCCCTCATTTTTATTTTATTTATTTTTATTTTGCTTATTTCATATGGTTCCATAGAGTTAAAATAGGAGTGCTTTTTGCATTTGATTCTGTTGTCTTTCAAAAGGGCAGCTACAGTAATGTTCCATTTCCCTACTTATGAAAAATTCTGCTCTATTGTTTTGAGGTGGCAAGAATATGTGCAGTTTTAGTCAAGAACAAATATATTTTACTCCTAGTGAGTAAGTGAGCAACTTAATTTTACCCAAATTGGGGAATTCTTAGTGCTCTTGAGTTTGTTATTTGCTTGCAGACATTTTGTTACCTAGTCTAGTAATGAAACATCTGCAAGCAAACAATCAAGCTCGGAAAGCACCAAGGACTCCACCATTCAACCCTGAGCTACATATATTATTTTCTGTTTATTCTCCTCTGTTTATTCCAATTATATTCATGTCGTTAATAATCTGCTAATTTGAACTTTGTAGGGAAGGATAAGCATTGTATATTAGATTTGTTAAGAATACAGTAAAGATATGGTGCATAAAAGAAAGTTTTAAAAAGAGAAACAAATTGGGGTGATATGATGTTCTGTGGTAAGTATGAATCTTAAGTAGTTAAATCATATCCATTTCATAGTTCAGAGAAAAATCGAGCAACTTGAGGCTGCCTGAGATGTATGAACTTACGTTTGTAAGGTATACTTCTGAGCCTTACTAACAGAAGACCAAGCTGTCAAAAAAGGAGCAAATTAAATTAGCCTTTAATTATTATTACTAAATATTACTAAAACTAAGTTTTTTAAAACCACAGAAACCATTTTAAAAATGATGCAGCTTATATAGAATCATATTGACTCAGGATTTTGTAATTTGGTCTTAATGTTTCTTTTTAATTCGTCCATAGATTCAAAAGGTCGTGAATAAAAAGCTAAGAGAGAGATTTTGTCATCGTCAGAAAGAAGTCTCGGAAGAAAATCATAACCATCACAATGAACGCATGTTGTTTCATGGTATGTAAGGTGACCCTTCAAGAATGTGTGGTTGCAGTATAACAAAACTGATTAAATGTACATAAATTGTACTTTGCTTTATTTACCATTCTGCTGTTTAATTGATTCTGGATTCTGGACTCAGCTCCAAGGAGCCAAAATGGACTTCTAGCTGGTTTTTCATCCCTTATCAGTACAAATATGCTACTTTACCTCCTATAAGGCTCTAGAGTATTTTCCAGGGAGAAACCCCAGGGAGGAGTTTATGAATGAAAAGGAAGGAGAAAAGCAGTGTTCCATTGTGGAGGCAATTCTATCAGGACCACTGTTTTGTCTCTGTTTTTTTTTTAATCCAATCTCATGAAATGTGATAGAGATGCAGGTCAAGAAAAGCATGCCAGGCAATTCATCCTTCTCCACAGATAGAGAAAGGAATCTACCACTCATTCAGAGAATCTTTAAGCATATGTTGCTTAGCAGTAAAAAATGAATACGTTCATAGATGCTAACCAGTGCTGCAATTGCTTCCTATTAGGAAAAAAAAAACACTACACATCACAGCTGCTCTCTTTACTTTGTGCAAGGAATTGAACAAAGATTCTTTCTTTTCAGAGAAACCTAGCCCAACAACTTCTCCAGTATACGTAATACTAACACATGTCACTAAGTACCAATGTTATCTCAACCCTTACATTAAGTTAGGTTTTTCTGTTTATTGGAAAAGATTAAGAGTGGGAGGTATGACATTTTCCTTAGATATATGAAAATCCTTTTCTTTAAAATCTGTTGAATCTTTAGAAATCAGAATTTTCTGTCAGATTGTCCTTGGTTTATATAGCCTTTGGGCCGTGGCCCATCAGTGGGCTGTGACGTGTTTGCAACTGGGCTGTGGAAATGTGCCTCTCCATTTGCACAAGCAGTGGGGGAACCCATGCACATATGCTCTCTTTGTGTGTGGTGGGCGCATGTGCACACTGTTTGCACAAATGGAGCTGCACATGCACACATGCTTGCCGGCTGCTCGCACAGAACCATCCCTTCTTCCCCCCACCTCCCCGGTTGGGGAACTCTGGTTTATATGATTGGACATGGATTAATTATTTTGCTAATTTGATGTTCAGATGAAGTTACAATTCCTATGATACATATATATGTTTACATGCTATTTTGTTTCTTTGTTTTAGGATCTCCTTTTATTAATGCTATTATTCACAAAGGATTTGATGAAAGACACGCATACATTGGAGGGATGTTTGGAGCTGGAATTTACTTTGCAGAAAATTCCTCTAAAAGTAACCAATATGTATATGGAATTGGAGGAGGCACAGGCTGTCCTACACATAAAGACAGGTCCTGCTATATCTGTCACAGGTGAGTTCTTGATAAATTGGACTGTCTGGAAAAGCAGGTACACTGCTTCCTTAACTGAAGGAATGGCAAATTAGAGGAAAAATTGGGGAAAAAACCAGGCACATTTCTTAGTTTTCTAGCTTGGAGGAATGTGAATGCTGAAATATGGATACTCCAGAGGGTCTAGGAGGCTCCTGCAAAGTCAGACATGATTCAGAGAACACAAGAATAAAACACCATTTTTATTGCAAGGAGTTATCATTGAACAGCTTCTGAATTCATGCTTGCAGTTTCCAATGACCAAACAAAGTTGAAATGACAAAAATGACCTTAATAAGTCTGTTCTTTCAGTATGCAAACTGCAATGGCTTGATAACCTATTATTTGCAGAATGTGTTGATATTCTGCTATCACTTGCTTAGCCATTCTTCCAGTTGTGCGAAAATTGTTAGTTTTTCTGAACCAGCTCCTGAACTGTCATTTGTCTATTCCAGCCATTAGGACTTCATGTTCCAAGGTTTTGTTTTGTTTTGTTTTGTTTTTGGGGGGGGGGGGTCCATACTAACATGGTCCTAAGAGCTGATGATTAAGCAAAAATGAATGAAATGAAAATGAAAATTCAACCTTTTTACTGATTTAAACAATGTTTAATTTGAAAATTGATAGGTTGTACATACTTTAAATCTCTGACATGATGTACATGAAATGTTTTGCTGTAACTGAGTTCACTTTTTAAATTCTTTTCTTCCTGTCTTCTTTCAGACAAATGCTTTTTTGCCGTGTGACATTGGGAAAGTCCTTCTTGCAGTTTAGTACCATGAAAATGGCCCACGCCCCTCCCGGACATCACTCTGTAATTGGCAGGCCAAGCGTCAATGGGCTCGCCTATGCTGAGTATGTCATCTATAGAGGGGAACAGGTAGGTGACATTTGAAAATGGCATCTATCGTCTTCATTGGCTCACTGAAATCTTTGGTGTACATTGTTAAGCACCACCAAAGGTGTGAGCGATACTTCATACTTTTAACAATAAACTGTGGTTGGCTTGAGCATCACACCAAATTACTGTGACAAACTACATGTTTTAAAAAGATGTGTGATTCTTTCATGCTTTATAGTACAAACTGTCTTAAATAAGGAGCAAATGAGTTTTGTTCTTCCTGCAATCTAAAGCCCCCCCCCCCCCCCAAAAAAAACCTGTTTTAAAATTTTGATTAAATAAGTACTACCTTCTGCCATTTGCAGAGGGACAATTTCTAACACTAATAGATTTCACTATCCATAAAATAAAGAATATTTTTGAAGACACATTCAGATACTCTGCTTAAAATCAGCCACATCTTCATGTTACCAAAAATACATTACTATATTAAAAAAGCCAAGCAGGAAATACACACTTTCAAAAGTCTATATGCAGCCACTGAATTTTTCTCGAGAACAGTATGCACCTATGGTTTGTGGTAGACTGCTCCAGCAATACTGTACTCTGTGAAAAATAGGAGGTTGCTTAAGTGTTTATATTAAGGCTGATGTATTATACTATATCATACTTATGTCATACTATGAAAGGATCTTATTTAAGCTCCTGTTTAAATGTTCTTCCCTTGATTTAATGAATAAGACTCTGACTGGTGCTTCCAAAACTTGCATCAGTTTCTATACCATCTCCTTTCTGCAAAAGAGGAAAGGAACAAACATGGCAGAGAAGAGTACAGTAACACTTTGCAAATAGATATACATCCGCATCAGATACACAAATTTTGAGTACAGTCTGATGTAATTCGTACAATAGACTTAACAATAACAGTATTTCTTCCCAAAAAATCAGACAAAAAACCACTTCCATTAATTACACATCATTGTCTCACCTACTGTGGCCTTTGCACTCCCTAGAAGGTATTCACTTCAGTTCTTGGTGATCAGTTTCTCTTCAAACAGCATTTGGGAAGATATTAGATGCTGACCTAGGCTTTTACACATCTCTTCTGCCCCATTGGAGTATGCTATTTGCCCCCAAATGAACAAATAAAAAGGAAGCTTTTATATTTGAAGTCATGGAAAAGTATCTGTTCAACATAACATAATGGATATTAAATGGATTTTGTTAGAAGCAAAAGTATCAGAGAATCGTGGCTTCTCAGACGGAAGTAATATAAAAATTAAGTAAAATGAACTTTTTCTGTGTTTTTAATTATTTCTCTATAATGTGTAGTAATTTGAGTGTATCTGCTTATTCGTAGGCTTACCCTGAGTATCTCATTACATACCAAATTGTAAAGCCAGATACTCCCTCACAGACAGCAATGGCTGCAGAACAGAAGACCTAGTAGATGCTGGTTCATTGAAGTAGATTACGTGACTTACGGACTGGATGGTGGAGATTAGTTTCAGAACATCAAAGTTATATGGAATTCTCATCATTCTGGAACTGCTTTAAGTGTTTTATAAAGCATTGTTCTGTAAATGAATCTGAGTAACTGATATGTACTCAATTGCTACTATTCCTTTTGAGGAAATGTTTACAAAGATTTGCCTTTTAACATCCTATCTCAGGCTCACTTTCCCTGCAGTTGCCACGTGTGCAATGAGAACATCACTGCTTCAATCTGGATATATGGAAATGTAATGTGTAGTGCTGTGGCTACAATCCTTTTGAAAGAACAGCAGCAACAGCTGTAGTGAAGTGCAGAGCCTCTGTTGAACCCATGCCATCCTCTCAACCTGCAAGGCTGGTTTTCCTTTTTAGAAGTCTTTAGTCAGTTATTTATTTTCGTTTTATTCTTCTGTTACAAAAATGAGCCAGACCCTCCTTGAGGATATTTTTGCACAAAGTCAATTTGACTAAAATCACTTAACAATGCAATAGGAATTTCTTATCCAAGGTGTTAGAGATACAGTTATTTGGTCTGGGATTCTTTTTGCACTTTTTATGAATTCTTTTATGTTGCTAAGAACATAATTTTAAGGTAGAAGTCCTGCTTTATCCCTTTCAAGTTTCTCTTTCTTTATAAGATGTTCATGCTAGCATCCATATAGCAGCTTCTCTGGGAAACGGTCTCTGTTCCTCTGTTTTGCTTTCTCATTGCTTTCTCGTGTCTAATATTCCAGTAGCACAGTTTGGATGTGTCTGAAAAAATGCATAGGAAACATGTGTTGGATGAAACTGAATAGACACAGGATCCTGTTTTCTCTCTGCCCTTGCTAAGTGAGGTTGTAAGCAAGTTAGTGAGATTCCTGAAGGAATTTGATGTCTTCTGTGGGTATTTGTTCTGAGGTTTTTTAAATATTTTCATCAGATAATGAACAGCAAGGGAGCAGAGATGTGAGCCAGAAGCCTAATCTAGTTCTCACATGTGTGTAAACTCCAAAAGGACCATTTTTTTTCATAAAGGGCGTATTAGAGTATAAAAGTTAACTGTAAAGCTTGCTTGAGGCCCTTTTTCCTTCAATAGGAATATTCTGTTATTCCTTATATTATGTCTGGATTCATTCATAGGTTAAATTCCATGCAAATATCCTCCAACACCTTAGCCCCTTACCCCCAGTAGACTAATTAGACCAGTTAAGCTGGTTATATCAAGGAGTATATATATACATATATTTGTATTATTGCAGAAGACTGCTTAGTTACTAATTGATTTCTATTCATTAAATTCATCCTCCCCCAGATTTTCTTTGTGACGAATCCACTTACATATCATTGTCATCGTCATTAATATAATATCACAAAATCTGCCAATGAAAACTATCTCCCTGCCCTCCCCAAAACATCATTTTTAAACAATTCAACGACTTTCAAGGAAAAACGAACAGTAGTAGAGATCTATAAGTAGAATATATAATGGAGAGAGACTGCAATATTGCTTTGCAAAATCTTTGGTAAGTAAAACAGCCAAAGAAAGTTTGCTTATAATATAGTTCTTCCGTGGAAGTTTTTTATTCCTTGAAAGTAAAGGTATTATATTATGAAACCTACTGGCACCTGCTTGGAAATGGGCAATGGTCTTACCTGATGAACAAAGCCACTACCAAAAATCTTCCTCCAAAGACATTTCTAATATATATTAGAAAAATATACCTAATGCATATTAGAATAATGTACAGTTTACAAGAAAAATCATGTAAACATTTGTCAACTTCAGCACTTGACCGAGAAGATGAAACAAGGTAACTTGCTGTGAATCTTTCATTTTCGCTTCTGTTGTTTGAGGTCACTCAGTCTGCCTGGGTTTCTCGGCACGAGATGACATAAGGCCCAAAGCTCACCAAGATCATTTACCTCTAAAATAAATATCCAAATTTGGAAAGGATACAGATGATGAACATTCACTTAGAAATCTCTGTTTTTAAGCACAGCTCCGGACAAAGTGCTAACTGTGGTTGAATTGCAAATATTTGTGAAACTCTACATTTTGACAGCTTCACGTGGATATGAATTAGGACTCGGCTGTTTTTCACATTTAATCCAAATGGTTCACATGAATGTGGAAGCCTAATGCTCTTTCTCCAGTAAGAGAGAATATTGATTCTGTGGTTGTCTTTTCCTCCAGTGTGATGGTTAATCTAATGGGTAATTTAAATTCTAAATTCCGAGGATCTCACATTGCTCCTGTTTTGTAACATGTTTCGTGTAGACTAAAAGGTGCTGTCCAAGGAATTCCATTTTCAGTTACTTGTGTCTTGTAGTAATGTAATTTTTGTTACTCCTTTAAATATACATGCACTCAAGTCTTCAGAGATCTAAAATTGCAAACATAGCGTTTAATGTCATTCAATGTAACACAACAGTTAATGTTCTCACATATAGGAGTTGACAATTGCTGCAAAGGACTTTTACACTTGATTCTGAAATATATTTCTTTGGGATAAGACTTAAACTAATACATGCAGTAGATTATCTCTCAATATGTTCTGAATAGAAAACCTGATAAGTGCTTTGGTCATATATGCGCACAATCTTCAAAGTAACAAAAGTGGTGTTAGCCTTAAATAAATTACATTTGGGGCTTTCTTCAACCCACTGGGGTGAAAAATCCCAGCTACATCAAGAGATGATAAGATGCCATAAATCTAGTGCCATTCATTGGTTTTGTCCCACTCTGAGAGAGATGTATAGATTGAGACTTTTTCAGAAATTAAACTTGACGGGCTTAATGTCACAGTACAATGTTGGATATGACCATTATCTACAGTATGTGGGCTTGATCCTAGCACTTGTAACCATAATTAGGAATTTTAAGTACCCCGATCATTTGTGACGGTTACACTTAGTACAAATAGCAGTAAATCTGCTTGCAGCAACATTTAGTTTTGAAAGGGACCCTACAGCCAATTCATTGATGAATATGTTTATATGATGTATGTATTTGCAACAACACATTTGTTGTATTACATGTTTAGGTGCATACCTATAAATATAAATTGGTGAATAATCCGTTGAGCATATTTTTTTAATTACAATCCTGGGAGCTGGGAAATGGGGGTTGCAAGCTACAATAATGTCTTTGGCTATTTTTGGTTGCCCTAGTGTCACATGCCATTGTGAGGAGAGGAGAAAGGAGGAGAGATTGGATAAGCTGATAGCTACTTTCTGCTTTGTTTGTTGCTTGGATTTACAAAAACAAATAGATTTGGCTTTTTCTCTAAGTTAATTGTTTCATATAAGAAACAAAGGATGGGGTGGTCTCATAGTTGCGCTCTCCTCAGACTATCATATAAACTGAAGGATAGAAGTGGAATAAAGAGATATTTAAAATAGCTATCAATTGAAAAATACAGCATATTTTAAAATTTCCATCCATTGAAGCCTCTGAATTCTCTGAATATATTCATAATCTGAAATGCAAAATATATTACAGCTTTCTTTAGAAATCCCAACCAATTCAGAAATGGTACCTTATGAATATAATCTCTTAAGACTATATAATTTCCAAACCATGGGATATTTGGTTTCAAATGTTTTGCATACCTTGGATTTAAGTAAGGTTAAATCTTTCTCTACAAACCTCGAAAGTTCCAGGAATCTTGGGAATGGTCATCATTTTTATTGTAGTATAATCCTCAGCATTCTTAAATACCTGAGATGACATCGTGAATTGCTTTCTGCCATGATGATATTCCAAATAGTAATGGGGTTTTTTTTTCCTTCTGAGAAACGACAATATTAAACATATACGAGAGAACATTTTATTGTCCAAAGGTGGGCAGCTGCTGTTTTTAGAATGAAGAGAAAAAATTTCCAGATTGGAATCTTCAGGTAAAGCAGCAATTTCATAGGAGATCTATGAGCTGATACCAGTATAATGACTGATTGTAATGTACAGACTTGAATTGGGGTGAATGTTCAGGCCAATCACTACAGCTGCGTGTTTCACACTTTTTTTTATCCATTGTAGGCCAAGCAGCAGTTCCAAGAAGGCAATTTTCAGTTGGGAAATGTCACAAAGAGAACAATTGGAAGGATTTCCCCTACTTGGAAAAAGAATAACTGGAGTGTTAGTTAGTTCATAGATCTTCCATGATATATGTTTCAGCCCTTAAGGAATCAAATTGAATAAACGCAGGGATGACTCAACCAGTAGGTAGAAGATTGAGATTTAAAAGACAAACAAATCACCAGCTATTTATTTTCTCTCAGTATGGTGGGAGAATTTTCTCCCCAGGTGGCAAAACATTTTCAATTCCATCTGCCTACTAAAATTTGTCGCTTTGGAAAATTTGATTTTTACATATGCTTTCAACTTGATGTACATGCACGACATTCTGTCCTCTCTTATTTTAATACTATTTTTTTAGTTCCTTCCCGCAAGCCACAACTGCATATTATCATATCCTGGTGTGACTAAGACACAACTACATAAATAACCAAATGCAGTCTGAAGCATGTTCTCACAGCAGCATAAAGCATAAACAAATGTACCATTTGAATTCTAGTTCCTATTTACAAGAACGAAGCCAACATGCAAAGTCCACTACCAGAGTCCATCACCTTGAAGGCCTGGCTATATAACTTCAATGATTCTTGTGGTCCAAATGTCTTGCTTTGTGGGTAGTGTATGGGCTATTGTAAATGTGGACAAAGCCAATGAAATTGCTGTCGGCTACCATGTTTTATGCAATTACTATCTAGTTCATAAAGATGCTATCTAATAATAGAAGAGTTAACATTTCTAGTATTTCCTTACATGATGGCAGCTCCTTATGGAAAAGTATAACAAGGCATTCTACCATCATTCTTTTTTACCATTCATTCTATCATGATTCTTTTTAAGCAAGAATATAAACTCTACGCAAAAGAAACTCCATTTTTGCTAGAGACCTTATTTCCAGAATTCAAATACAACTGTAAGCCATAATGGGGTTGGTTTGTTTTAAAATTACTGTAGTACAGTGCACAAACTTATCTACCATGGTTTATTTCTTGGGTGGGTTCTAAAACTGAGAGTATATATATATATTCACCTTTTTCTAATACCGGTAACAGCTTCTCAGTATTTTGCAGCCAATGGAAGCAAGATTTACATATGCTGTACTTTTTTTTTCATAGCTTTGGAAAAAATATAGAATTGGAACTGCCTGGCTTCCTAATCGTGTCTCCAGTAAAACATAAGTTGTGTAGCTATCAGATTATGAATATTTTATGTGAGAGAACAACAACCATAGCTAAAATTCTAGAATCAAAATTTCTATGGTTTGAAAGCAGAGCTCTGGTGTTATTCATTTCTTGAGTGTCCCCTCCTATAATGCCAAAATTACACCAAATTATTCAAAAAAAAAAAAAAGATAAAACAGTAAGTTATGAGAAATAGAATCATCTATATTTGTTCTATTTATAAAATTTACACTTGGTGCCAGATGTTAATGACTTAGAGCAAAATTCATAATGCATAATTGTGCTTTGCACAAGAGTTTTATGGTGTAGTTTCCTTCATGCTTTATTAGTTGGGGAAATCATGAGGCAGACTAAGTAACAGAACAGTTTTCAAAGAAGTAGCTGTACAACATCTATTGAATCAGTCTTTTAGCAGTTTAAAGGCTGACAAATACATTATAGCATTTGCTTGTTTATGGAGCAGAAATGTTCCATAAAAGTTTGTGCCATAATATAAGGCACATTTTCCTTATCCTGTCTTCCGTTCATGTTCCTTTTAGTCTGTAGGTTTGAAGTAAAAAAAGACAAAATATACATCTAAATATCTGTATGTCACTGACCACCGTTTTTGTAATTTATTGAACAAAGTAGATGTTTTTGTGTACCGGTTCTGCGGAAAAATAGTTACTGGTAAAAGGTTTTAAAGGCTTTGTTTATAGTGCAATTTCAATATTTTTTAATTTATTTGTAATGCCTTCAAGACTTCCAGCAAGTTTTCACAATTGGTGACTTTGTTTATATAGGTTGATGGCCTCTGCAAAAACAAATATCACTTTAGATCATCGTGGCATCTCATTTATTTTTATAGGCATTGAAGTACTAGCTTTGCATTTTAAAAATAATCTTGTGTAACTTGCTTGCATAGCTAGCCTTGTATTCTTCTTGATTTCTTTTGGCAATAGAACATGAAGTCTCAGTATGGTTTCTTCATTGTCTGTGAGTTGGAGTTGGGAAGTTGGTTATTTCCTTTTTTTAAGGGTTAGGTTAGCTCTTAATTTAACATTGTGATGGAATTTTGCATAAAGCCAATGTAACAACTGAGTTAGCTCTTACTGTGCTTTCACTTAATGTCAGACATATAGTACTTGTGACAGAAAAGAATCAATAAATTCTCCTTTTTTTTAATACTTGAACATGTGTACTTTTATTATGATATATTAACCATGGAACTATTCTCCGTGTGTTCTAGTGCATTATATACTTGGCCAGATATATTCCTGCTTTGCTCATTATATAAACCGTGATCCCCAACCCGTGGGCTATGGCCCAGTACCAGGCCATGGCCTGTTCAGAACTGGGATGCACAAGTGGTAGACAAGTACACATAGCTCCACTTGTATGAGCGGCACACATGTGCATCTGCCGCTCTCACCGAACCATCCCCTATTCCCCCCCCCCCCGTCCCCCAAGCAAGAAAGGGTGGGGACCACTGATCTAAACCACCTTATATCATTGTTTCCTTATGAACATGTGTCACAAATGAAAGTGAAATACCTTTCAACTCAAATTTGCTTGGAATAAAGCAAAATAACCTTGAATACTTGAGAAAAGGTGGGAAATAAAATTTAAAAATGCCTTAAATCAACTTCCAGTGGGCCTGCAGGATTCAAAAACATTGTTAGAACGTACCTAAATTATCTGCAAAGTATCATTTAAAAGCATGTTTTTTAAAAAAAATAACCCCATTTTAAATAGGAAAAAAAAATCCCGATAATTGGAAGTCCGCTTTGGTTGGAATGCAAAACCAATGCATGTAGTCCTTGACTTACAGGACAGTCAAGTGAGTTTTGCTCCATTTTACCACTTTTCTTGCCACAGTTAAGTGAGTCACTGCAATTAAGTCAGTAATAGTTAAGTGAATCTGGCTTCCTCGTTGATTTCGCTTGTCAGAAGGTTGCAAAAGATGGTCACGTTACTCTGGGACACTGCAACCGTCGTTAAGTACACAAAAAAAGAATGAATGAGCCTTTTGATTTTCATTATGAAAGGTAACCACAGCTGAAAATTTATTTCAACTAATTATCAAGCAATAAATTAAACAGTCACAATCTAAAAAACACACACATGCATTTTAGACATCCTATAAAATATACACAATTGGGCTGGGTGTAGTATCAAAAACTTTGAAGGGCAGGCCAAATCATGTTCGAAGGGGTGTGCAAACTTTCCATTTTGTACCCACAGGAGGCAGAACCTGCAAAGATCCTGCCTGTGAAAACACTTATCATCCATAGGCACCTGACGTGCGACAGTAAAAATAAGCTAATCTTTAAGGAAGTCAAAGATCTCTTCACAGTAAACTCCCAAGCTATATAATCAAGGAGCAAAACTTGAAACCATTCTAGTCTGAAAGACTAGCTTAACTAGAAGATTCATGTGGCTATCTTTGGCATAACATGATGGGTCCAATTTGGGGTGGGGAGAGCAATGTGGAACTGGAGAAAGGCCAGGTGCTTTTTATCGAGTCTAGCCCAATTTTAGAGAGTGAGGCTATACTCAAAAAGAAATGAGGGCTAAATCCCAGTGGGAATTGTATGTTTTGCTCAAAAATCCTGCTTAAAATTGGCTTCAGCAAGTAAATTGGAGGAGTTTGATACGAACCAGAGGGTTATATCCTTGCTATCTAGGAATCTTACAGGCCGGTATCGCTCTTGAAGAAAAATATTTCCTTACATGCTTTCTCTTAAGGTTGCTGCAAAGGTCTTAGTTTCCACATTATATAAGATTCCTGGGGAGGGAGAGTGCAACACTTACATCCTCTTTGAGGATCCACGTGAAGGATTATTTTATAGAGCAGTGTTGCTCAACCATGGTATATTTATGAAGTGTGGACTTCAATTCCCAGAATTCCTGAGCCAGCATGCCTGGGGAAGATTCAGCCTTTCCTAATCTGATTCCCACCAAATATTCTGACAGCTTCTATGATGCTTACAAATTGGCTATACTGACGGGAGCTTAGGAGACGAGCATCTGCTGCTTGGAAGCTGTCTTTACTCTTGCCCCACTAAATAAGATAATGCTTTCTTCCCTGGTGTCTCAAGATACTAAACCACTTGGCATGCAGAGTTTTGCCCAGTGTTAGGTGAAGAAGAAAAAAACATGCCTGTCCATTTGTGTCAGTGAAGCCTGTTTACTATTATTCAGATGACACAAAAAGGCTTCCTTCCCAAGCAAGAGGAGAAACAAGGGCACAGGCCACTTAACTTAGGGCTGATCAAGTTATCACACCAGAGAGGCATAATCAGGAACCAAGAATATAAGCATGAACAAAAACCTTGTTCTTGTCACATCACCCTCAGAGGCAAAAGCTGGGAGGACAAGCAAGCATTTCCAGGTCCCTGACTTTTCCCAAGTTACCTCAAAAAATAGCATCTTCCCTATGTTCATAAATCCGAATCCATTATTTTTTATTTTATTTTAAACTGGTTTAAGAGAAAGAATCTGAAAGTCACTTCATAGTGAGCCTTCCATTCTTTTCCCTTTATGCAAAACCTCGGCTTCGCAAAACAGGTGACAACGTTATAAATTCCAATCAAGAATTAAACAAAAAACAAAAAAACAAACAGGCACTTTAATAAAATACATCCACCCCGGGGGTTGCGGCTGCTACAAGGTGATCAGGTGCAGTCAACTAGGAGAATGCACATTTCAAAATCAGATTGGATGCCTTGTTTTGGACCTTGTGTAAACCCAAGACTTCTTGTGCATCTGTTAAAAGCAGCCCTTGATTCTGACTTCAAGCAAGCCTGATCAAAAGATGCAGCTACTTTTAATAGCTGCTTTATTTAATGCAACTATTGCTCACGCAGAAGCCTAAAAAAGCAGAGAGGGGGCTCTGTTCACATAATACCCAAAGCTTTCCTCCCCAATCATTTTTGAAATGTGCCCTGCCCTAGCAGGCTCTTCACACATATGCAGACACTCCAACCTGCTCGCCCTCACCTATTTGGAGACTGTAGGTTCATGCTGGCTGAAAATTCTGGAATCTATGGTCCAAAATATTGGGAGCACTGGCTCTCACAGCCTGATGGTTCAACCACATTTCGCCTTCTCCCTCCCCAACACCCAAAAACATTATCAGGACTTTAAAACTTCAAGCTTTTTATATAGTTTTAGAAAATGAGGTAAAACATCTTGCCAAGAAAGGACATGCCGGAACCCACTGCCCCCCTCTGGGTTCCGTCCTAGCTGCAACGTCGACTATAACTGTCTTTGGTGCATTCCATTTGGCTGTAAGGGAATGGGGGGGCGGGCAGAGTTTTTTATTGCCTATAGTGATTGCCAACGGGGCTGTAGGATTCTGTCCTTCGATGTCCCTAGGTGTAACCCCAAAGGCTTACTCTAGCAGGTGGGAGAGGTGGTGATAGGGCTATGAAGATAAGGAAGGCTGCTCGAAGTGGAATGCACGGCCACAGAGACTGGGAAACTGAAGACGAACTGGGACGTGGGTGTGGAGGAGCCCTTCCCCCTTTCTCTTAGCGTTCCTGAGGGGCTCACAGCCTCGGCAGCACACGAAGTGGTCAGCACTTGGGATTCAAACTGAAGCAGCTGACCCATGAAGCTGAAGTTTGGAGAGATGATGCTCCGTCGTTGCTTGACAAACTCAAAGGCCTCCTCAAGCTTGACTCGCTTCTTCATGATTAGGTAAGCCAAACAGATGGTAGCTGATCGGGAGATGCCAGCTTGGCAGTGCACCAGCACCCGTCCGTGACACACCTTAACAGCATCTAGGGGAGCAGAGCAGAAGCATTAGCACATTTCAACCCTTAAAAGTGCAACTCTGACCCAACTCTGGAGCTATGAGCCACAATTCCCCCAAGGCCTTGGAAATCTCGCCTGCCCTCACTTTATTTATTGGATCACTTTATACAGCCACCCTGATCAAATATCTACCCAGGACTCCTCCATGGGAGGCAAGCTATTTCTAAACGTAGTTCTAGGTGTGATAGATACATGGTATGCACAAAGCAACCTAAATTATGTTGCAAATTTTATTATTCATATCACAAGAATGGTGGAATGAATAGTGACTGGGAAGATCTCCCTCATTTGTTTCAGAAAGTAGATCTTTCCAAGAAACTTGGAGAATAGCTTCCTTTATTCAAGCTCAGTTCTGAATTTCCTGCAGAATTTTGTCTTGGTCTCAAATGATGCTCCTGGTAATACGCAAGAATTCTGCTGCACTTATCAAGTTGACTCCTCCCTGAGTCCATTGGACTGAGATGGGTGGTTATACAAATCAAATGAATGAATGGCCAATCAATTAATAAAGCAGCGACAGAATGGAGGAAAATATATATATCTCTCTCACATAAAACATACGGCTACAACTGGTAAGACCACACCTAGAGTACTGCATCCAGTTTTGGTCACCGCATTATAAAAAAGCATGTTGAGACTCTAGAAAAAGTACAGAGAAGAGCCACCAGGATGATTAGGGGACTGGAGACTAAAACGTATGAAGAATGGTTACAGAAACTAGGCTTGGCTAGTCTAATGAAGAGAAGGACCAGGGGAGACATGATAGCAGTCTTCCAATATTTGAGAGGCTGCCACAGGGAGGAAGGGGTCAAGCTATTTTCTAAAACACCCGAAGGCCAGACAAGGAATAATGGATGGAAACTGATCAAGGAGAGATTTAATCTGGAAATAAGGAGAAACTTTCTGACAGTGAGAACAATCAACCAACGGAATAGCTTGCCCTCAGAAGCTGTGGGAGCGCCATCACTTGAGACTTTCAAGAAGAGATTGGACTGCCATTTGTCAGAAATGATGTAGGGTCTCCCGCTTGGGCAGGAGGTTGGACTAGATGACCTATAAGGT